TCCTGACGGCCGGACCCTGGAAACCACCGAACGGCCCGACCCACGCGGGCTGGGCAGGTAGAACCTTCGTAGGTCCACACAGGCACATCGCACACCGTGAGATGGAGGCTACCCCCAATCAACACAGGAGGCTGTCACACATAACGGGGCAAGAGGAGCAGTCACCAAAGAGCCCACACTGTACAATTCTGCTTTTATACAGAGCAAATGCAGTGAAACTGCACTGTTCGCGGCCAAGCCCCCAGTCCTGCTGAGGGGCGTGAGGGGCCCGGGGGGGGGGGCAGTGTGCTCAGGGCTCCAGACAGTGTTCCGTCTCTTAATCTGGGTGCCGGTTACACACGTGTGTGAGGTTTGCGAGAACTCATTGAGCCGTGCAGATACAATATGTACACCTCCCTATATGTATCTCCTACTTCACCAGAACATCATAAAAGAAAGGAACAGGAGTTGAAGAACCCAGCAAAAAAGGAAACATGAGCTGAGGAACAGGAGGACATTCATCCCAACTACTTCATGCAATACAACTACTTAATAAAAACATTAAGTTAGTAAAGTAAGCGTTTAAAGAAGAGTTTGTATTGAAATGATTTTTAAAGAAATTTTTTAAAATTGAAAAAAAAGTAAAATTGTAAAAGTAAGGAAGAAATTGGAGACCAAAGCAACATCATTACTGAACTAACATAATATGATAGAAACAGAAACATTTTACTAAAATCAAAATGACCAAGAAGTAGGAAAGGTTCAAGGTAATAAAAGAAATGCAGAAGAGAAAGACAAAAAGATCAAAGCAGCAATTGGAGAGAAGTGAATGGATACGGAAGGCTAACAAGAACGACCCAACACAAGGGTAATTGGTGCAGCAGGCAGAATGATGCCCCCCCAAAGACACCCAAGTCCTGGTCCCCAGATTTTGTGAATATGTTAGGTCATAGGGCCAAGGGGAATAAAGGTTGCAGATAGAGTAGTTTGCTAACCAGCTGACCTTTCAATAGGGAGATTGCCCTGGATTATCAAAATGGGCCCCATGTAATCCAAGCATGTACCCTGACTGGGAATCGAACTGGCGACCTTTTGGTTCGCAGGCCGGCACTCAGTCCACTGAGCCACACCAGCCAGGGCATCACAAGGGGGCATCACAAGGGTGTTTAAAAGACAAGACGGAAGCAGAGCCGGTGCCAGAGTGAAGAGAAGTGAGAAAGGCTCCACAGGCCTCTGCTGGAGGAGGGAGGGACACAGGCCATGGAACGTGGGCAGGTTCCAGCAGCTGGAAGAGGTGAGGACACAGACACCGCAGCTCCTCCGAAAGGAACTCGGCCCCGCCCACGCAGCGATCTCAGCTCGGCGAGGCTGTGTTGGCTTCTGAGCCCCAGAATTGTAAGATGATAAAATTACGTTGTTTTAAGCCACTTAGCTTGTAGCAAGTTACCCAGCAGCAACAGGAAACTAATATAATGGTGTCCTTGAAGTAGAAACGCCAACAAAGGTAAAAGGACATTAAAATAAATCTCCCTGAGCCTGGCTGTTGTGGCTCAGGTGTTTGGAGTGCCGTCCTGTAATCACAAGGTGTCCAGGTGCATATGTCCCTGGTCTGGGCGCATATGGGAAGTAGCCAATCAATGTTTTCCTCTCATATTGATGTTTCTCTCTCTCCCTTCCTCTCTCTAAAAAGCAATGAAAAAATGTCCTTAGATGAAGATGAAAAAAAGTTAAATAAATTTCTCTCAAACAAACAAACAAACAAAAAGGATTCTGCAAATTCAAATAGTGCAGAGCATACGAGCAGTTCAGTACCAGCCATTCAGCTCTGAGAGATGGTCTGGTTAAACTAATGGACTGTGAGGCAAAGAGGAAGAGCTCTTCTGGAATTCAGAAGAAAAAGCCAATCACCTGCACGGGGGAAGAATCAGCCGACCTCAGGCTTCATCACAGCACATCCAACGCTGGGGGGCAGCAGGGCAATGGTTACAAAGGGCTGGGGGGGAAATATACCCTGAGAATGTTGTACCCAGCCAAGACACTGTTCAAAGATGAAGACAACGGGCTAGGCATTCTCAAACATGAAAACGTTCAGGAAATGCTTACAAGCCCACCCTGAAAAATGACGGAAAATGAAACCTAGCTAGTTAGAGGGACAGCGCAATGAAGACCTGACTCCCACGGCGGGCAGAGCGGGGCTGCTGGCGAACGCTGGCCCTTCAACAGCGAGCTGTTACTAACAGGTACGGTCATTGCAGCTGCAGCACAAGTGAGCGATATAAACCCGGGCCGTGGGGCAACAACCATCCCGGCTACAAGACGCGGGGGGCAGGTGGGCAGAGGAGAGCAGGGACGGAACCTGGAAATGCCTTGGCCTCTGAATGGCAGAAGCCTCATAGTTTCGAAGTGAAACGTGTCTTAAAAAGAAAAGATTCCAATTTTTACAATTTTTCATAATCTCTTTTTTAATTTATTGAAATGAGAGAGAGAGAGAATAAGAGAGAGAAACATTGACTTGTTGCCCCACTTATTTATGCATTTAGTGGTTGATTCTTGCGTGCGCCCGGACCAGGGATTGAACCTGCAGCCTTGGTGTATTCGGATGATGCACTAACCAACTGAGCTACCCAGCCAGGGCCCATAGCTTCATTTCTTAACCACAGAAGAGTCTTTCAGTAAATCAAAAGCCCACGAGGGGCACGCCTATGACACCAGTTCTCTTCTGCAGCATCTCGAGAGGAGCTGACAACAAAAGCTTCTGCGGAAAGCGTCTTTCAGCCTAAATGCTCCCTCCGTGCGAAGGAGAAAACTTTAGAAGAAAGCATCTACTCTGGAAGAAGACATGTATTTAGAAATCCTGGGTTTATTACCCCACAAAAAGAAAGCCATGCAACAGAACCTTGGCCAAGCCCTCATTTCAACTGCCTGTGAGCTCTACGAAGGTCGCGCCCTCCTCCCTCACCCACCCCGCGACGGAACGCATTCCGCGGCGGTTCTCCTCAGACCCCCGCAGCTCTGGGGGCGCCATGTCCCACCTGCTGAGTGTTTGGTTCCCTCACCTCCACTGGGGCCCCTCCCTTCACTGCCGCCCCGGGGACCCGGCTGGGGAGCCAACAGGCCCTGCCTCCCTGGAGCTCCAGCTCCAGCTCCGGGGCCGGCCGCACTGTCCGGAACTCCGCCCCCTCTGCGTTGTCACTGGCCCGATGCTGCTGTTGAGCACTGCACACGTGGCTAAGGCAAAATTGCTTTTTAAATTTTTTATTGAATTTATTGGGGTGACATTGGTTAACGAAGCCATGCCGGTTTCCGGGGCACAACTCTGCACCGCGCGCTCCGCCGGCTGCACCGCGCGCTCCCCACCCACAGTCAAGTCTCTCTCTGTCGCCGCTCACCCCGCCTTGCCCCCTCCACCTCCCCGCACCGGCGTCCCCTCTGGCAGTCACTGTGCAGTTGTCGGTGCCTGTGTGCTTTTCTCCCCTTAATCCCTTTACCTTTTTTACCCAGCTCCCCAACCCCCCTCCCCCCTGACAGCTGTCAGTCTGTTCCATGTATTTATGATTCTGTCTCTATTTTGTTTGTTACTTTATTTGGTTCATTAGCTTCCACATATAAGCGGAGTTATAGGGTCTCTGTCCTTCTCTGACGGGGTTATTCCGCTCGGCATAATGCTCTCCAGGCCCATCCCTGCTGTCGCAGTGGTAGGTGCCACAGCTTTTCTACCCGCTCGCCTGCGATGGGCCCTTGGGCTGCTTCCAGATCCTGGTGATTGTAAATAACATTGCAGTGGACAGGGGGCCCATATATTCTTTTGAATTAGTGTTTTGGGTTTCTTCAGATATATTCCTAGTAGTGGACTTGCTGGGCAGTAAGGGCTAACGCAAACTTTTCATTGTATTCCTTTACAACTACTTTAAATTTAAAAAGCTGGCCGGACTGGTGTGGCTCAGTTGGTTGGGCGTCCTCTTGCAAACTTAAGGGTCGCAGATTGGGTTCCCCAGCTGGGCACATGGAACCCCAGGGCACGGTTCAGTCCCCTGACAGGGCCCAGACAGACGAGAGGCAACCAATCCACGTTTCTCTCTCACATTGATGTTTCCCTCCCTCCCTTTTCTTCCTTCCTTCCCCTCTAATATCAATAAATTGATCAATAAAAATCTTCAAAATTTTTAAAAGTCTTGTGTGGCTAGTAGTATCACTTTGGACAACGCCGCTCTAGTGTCTATCAGGATCTGCATGGGACCACCAGGTGGGCCCTCCACCTCCTCCTGGCCGGGATTCATGCCCAGCGTGCTGTCCTTCTTTCCCTAGTATGTCTGCTCCTCTTGGGGCTGCGACTGTCAAACCTCAAGCCTTGGGGCTCCCCCCAGCCCTCCAGCTCGGGGCGCTCTGGCCTCCCATTGACGTGAAGCCCACTCTCCTGCTTTTCCTCAAGCCCAGGCCACGCTCTTGGGGGCCACTTGGGCTCCTTGCCCTCCTAGGCCTGTCCACCTGGGCGAGGAATGCCGGGAACCCTGAGAAATCTCCAGACTAGGCCTCTTTCATCTTCTCTCCCTGTTCTTCCATCCGACCCACGCGCAGGGCCGCCACCTGGGAGCCCGCGCTCCGATCCCACGCTCCGAGCCACTCCCGCGTCTCCGCACCCCACGCATTCTTTCCAAATGCGTTGCGTGCACGTGTGCCACCCTGTGGGGTCGCGTCCCCAACCCCCAGGTGCGTTGCCTCCACGCTCTCCTCCTCGAAGTCACCCGCAGGTCGGGGGGACCCTGCAGCCTGGCCAGCCGCTCGCTCTCGCCGACGCGCAAAGCGCGGTGAGAGGATGGAGGAGGTGCCTCTGTGCCGGCCCCAGGCCCCCCACGAGCCTCCTGCGTCCCTCACGTGCGGAGCAGGGGTGCAACCGGCGCCTCCCGCAGAATGTGAGCCCGATCCAGGCAGAGAGCGGTCGGCCCCGAGCCCCGCGCTCCCGTCGCTCAGCTGCGCTCCTGCTCCCGGGCCCCAGCCCTGCTCCTCCCCGGCCCCGCGCTCACCCGCCGGGTGGCCGTACGGGGACTCGGCAGCGCCGTCCTGCAGACTCGCCAAGATCTCGCCCTTGCCCACGTCGCTGTCGCCCACCAGCAGGAATTTGAGCAGAAAGTCGTAGGCGCGGACCGGGCTGCCCAGGACACTCATGGTGCCGGCGCCGGCGCCCATGCCCGGCCCGCGGGACGGCGTAGAGGTGGCAGCCGGGCACCCAGGCGCCCGCAAACCCGCAGTCCGCGGAAAGCTGCTGCTCAGCTCCCCCGCCGCCTGACAGCATGCGGCCCCGCCCCGCCGTGTCATTGGCTGGCCGCAGTTGCTAAGGCGGCTGCGCCCGTTCATTGACTAGCCTTCCTGTCCATCTTACCGTCGTCTCCGCCTCCAGGGTGACGCCCACGCCGGTCGTACCCTATCGTGTATGGGAGGCGGGGCCATTGGGGGTTCTAGAGACAGGGTGGGGCGGAGCCAAGGGTGATAGGGGGCGGGGACCCTGCTCCGGCAGCCAATGTGGGGCTGGACTAGCACGGGGCGGGGCCGGGCGTTTACTCTGCCGCGTGGGCCGGAGAGCCGGGCTCGGTGGGCCGGTTACAGACTCTACCGCGGACGCCCGGGTCCGGCCGCCTGGCGCCGGGGTCACTGCCTGGGGCGAGCTCGCGCTGTTTCCCCATGGCTGCTCCAGGGCCTTGTCCTTGCCCCAGAGCGACTGAGGCCGTGAGTGCCTGTGCTTGGGTGTGCTCGTGCGCCTGTGTCCGTGTGCACGTGCTCGTGTACGTGCCTGGGTGCGCGTCTGTGTGCGCGTCCGTACACGTGTTGGCACGGGTGCCGGGGGCGAGGACAAGGCGTGGGCCCTCCAACCTCGGGCTTCGGCCCTGACCTTGACATCCAGGGCGTCAGTCCGCAGCCTGCCTTCAGCTCCGGGGGGCCTGACCCTTCGCACGAATGCCCCCTCTCTCTTCCGTAGCATCACATTTTCTTCTCCTGTTGGATCAAAATACAACAAGAATCATTTGATTACCAAAAATAAATAAATCAATAAATAAAATGAAAGCATCGCTTGCTTTGAGAATCGTCACGTGTATGGACTATTTTTATCGTACCTGCTGCTGGTGGTGAACCTTCAGCTCCGCGGGAGGTGTCGGGTGTGGGGAGACTTCCAGCCCGCAGGGACGGGGTGCGCGCGAGGCCAGAACACCCACAGGGGGCTGCGTCCTATCAGGGCTCACACCCACCTTGCTGTAGGGGACATCTGCAGCTATTTACATTTTCAGGACTGTTGAGACTGCCTTGGACACTGGAGCTCCGTCCGGTGGGGACCCGGCGGGGGGGCGATGTGGAGGACATATTGGGTTTCCCCACCCAAGGGTGGGAGGGGTCCGTCAGGGACCGAGGTCTGCCCACCCCAGAATGCCCCACTGCCGTCCCCAGGCAACGGGTCCCGGGTGCCCGCAGTAGATACTGCCGCCCACATACATAAGGCAACAGCTGGGCCTGCAATGTCTATTTTAACTGTTTGCCTGCATAACCTGTGATCAGGGTGTTGTGATAATTTATTGAGGGAGAGGAGAGATTTTTGTCCTGCCATTTTTGTCTGGAACCACGAGACTCCATCGCAACACGGGATGTCAGGTCCCCAGAAGAGACCCAGTGAGGTGAGATGTGTGAACAGACATGTGCTCTCCAAACCCAGGCTTTCTGACAAGGCCTGAGGCACATGGCTTGAGACATTCAGTGCTTGTGACTGGGTGCTGGGCAGCAAGTGTTGCTAAGGGACAAGAGCTTCCCGCTGTCCAGGGGCCAAAGGAAGCTGAGTCCTCCGGAGCCTTGGCCACGTGATGACTGGCAAGAGTTATTCCCTTGCTCTGCAGGGCTTGTTTCTCGTCCTCCTTCCAGAGCCACGCCTCCTGGCAGGTCCTGTGGGGGCGACCCTGGCGCGGCACCCTCTATTTCCCTGGCAGGTTTCACGTGGTGGCGGTGGGATTCCTGAAGCTCAGAGCCGGTGGCGACTCCCTGGACCCGGAAGTGACTGAGAACAACACGTACATTTCCCACGAAAACCAGCTCTGACCTGAGAGGACATCTGCGGTGCTCTTGGCTAATTGTGGGTAAATACGTGACTTGTGCAAACTTTGCAAAGATACACGACCCTCAGAAGCTCCTACCAGGGCCACTCCTTTGCAGGAGCTTTGCGTCTTCATCAACGCAGGCTGCTACAGGCATTCGGACCCCTGGGGCCAGCGCATTCTCTGGGAAGGGGCTGGTCTGTGCATCACCTGCTGCCGAGCAGCGTCCCTGATTCCTATGCAGCCACACAGCTGCCAGTAGCACCCCTCCCCGTCATTGTAACCATTAAACATGTCTCCAGAATTTCCAGGTGTCCCTGGGGCAGGGGCGCAAACCCCCTCCTCTCCCCACCCACAGCTGAGGACCCCCGATTAGAGAACTTTGACGTCCAGGTAGCAATCTCTCAGGGAGAGCGGAAAACAGGGCGTGTTCTCCGCGTAAGGCCTCCGCCATGGCAGATCCCCTGGGCCCCCGTCCCCAGCTGATCGTGGCTGCTCTCATTTCCCAGCCGGCCCTCCCCTGTGACACTGGATGGTGCCCTGGCGGGTGGCGGGGAGAGCCTGCTCCTGGCCGTGCGCGCAGCGGAGAGGAGGGGCGATGGGGAGGGGACGTCATCAGGACGTGGGCGCAAGGGGCCAGAGTGGTCCAGGCCCAGAGACGGGGGCCAGAGAGAGAGTCTCAGGGCATCCGTGGTCCCCACTTCAATCTCGCAGCAACGCTGAGGTGGCGATTGCCGTTCCCGCTGCTACTCAGACAAAGGAGGGCGCGGAAGACCGAGGCAGCCACGGGTCCTGCCGGTGGCTTCCACCGCGGGTGATGGGCAGCACAGCATCGCAGCCTCAGTCTTGTTTTGTTTTCATTTTTAAATGGTGGTAAAATATACATAACATGCTATTCACCATTTTACCCGTTGTAAGTGCACAACGCGGGGGCACTAAGCACATTCACGTTGTTGTGCAGCCATCCATCTCCAGAACTTCGTCATGGCCACCAGGCTGAAACTCGGTCCCCAGTGAGCGCTGCTGACTCCCCACCCACCCCTCTTCCCCGGCCACGGGCTTCCTCCGCTCTGCTTTCTGCCTCTGACTCTGACCGCGCCGGGCACTCTGAAATCATGCGTGTTTACCCTTTTGTGACTGGCTTATTTCACTCAGCATGTCTTCAATATTCATGTGTGGTAACATGTCAGAATCACCTCCCTTTCTAAGGATGAATATCTCACTCTGTGTACGGAACCCATTTTATTTATCATTCATCTCTGGATGGACATTTGGGTTGTTTCCACCTTTAGGCTGTTATGAGTAGAGTTGCTACGAACAGCTGTGTACAAGTGTCTTTGTGATGGGATATATGTTTTTATTTCCTGGGCATAGGTAACATACACGTAGGGGTGGAACTGCTGAGTGGCAACAGTGCTTAGCTGTTTGCGGGTTTGTTCCCAGCTTGCACCGCAGCTGGTTTCTGTGCGGAACTGTGCAGCAGCCCCTGGCCTAGAGCACAGTTGGAGCACCTACTATGAAAGGTAGGGATAAAAGGCATGCCTGCCATCTCTGGGTGATATAAAAGGGGCCTCTTTACACAATGCAAAACCTGTACCCCATTTGACTGTGAAAAAGCATTTCTTAAGTTTCTTTCTCTGATGCTCAAATAAAAATAGACTGAAGAACTAAAAAGGGACCGACTGTATTTTCTCCAAAGCCCCTGGCACTTGCACACACCAATTAGCTCTTCTTGTTTGTCTCCCCTGCTGTCAAGAAGTAAATAGGAACTAACAGCTGGTCAGACTTTCACGCTGGTGTATATTTGCTGATGACTCACCAAGAATTCACAGCCAAGGTGCCAGTTGTTCTTCCGACGAAGAAAGAAAAACTATTTTAAGCAAAGCTGTAACCTCACGGATGCTCCAGAGACGAGCAGAGCCTCACGAAATCCCGGTAACGTAGGTTTCGCCCCGCCCACCGCTGTCAGACCCTACCCAAGCCCCGCCCACCAGGGCTCCACCCAGTGCCCGCCCTCGGCACCGCCTGCTCTGCCCAAGCCCGCCTACCCAAGGCCCCGCCCCGCCCCGCCCACACCCCGCCCCCGGCCCCCCGCCCCCTACCCGCGCCTTCAGGCCCAGGCGTGCGGGGTGCGACGCTCGCCAGGGTCCCTGGCCACCTCCTGGCAGCCTGCTGCTGCGCTGTCCCTCCTCAGCCCCCGCGGAGCCTCATCACTCAGGACAGTTCGCGCCAGGCCGGCCCGAGTGGAGAAGGTGGAAAGGGGAGCAGGGGTTCCAGCCGGTTCTGCCGGGACTGCCCCAGCGGAGACCCGGCTCCAGCTTGCCCGCTGCCCGCACCCTCCAAGCTCCTACACTCACACTCGGTGGTTGGGGGAACGGCCAACCCTGCTCCGTGGTCAAGGAGAGAGACTTCGGATAAGAAGAATACATGTCGAGGCGATGCGGCAGCCGTTGAAGTCAAGTGGAGCAGGGCTGGTTCTTGTGCTGGTAAGGAGTCCGCGCCCAACCAGCCGGGCCTGTGGAGGTGGGCCGGGCAGCGCTCCGGCCTGCCCCCCTCCCTCCCTGGCCTCCAGCCCCTGCCTCCTCAGACATGCGCTCTGTTAGTCCTGCCGGGTCCATGCTTATTTTTTATTTCTGTTTTTTGCCTTCTTTGGGACTAATTTTTCCTTCTGCTAAGAGGAAAGTTATAAATGAGCTTTCCTATTTTAGTGTTTACCCTAGGAATTACAAAATGCATGTACCATTTTTTAAAGAATTTTCTCTTAGACAGCACAAAGGCCTTATAACAATTTACCCCTTTAAATTAAAATACAAAAATAATTGTTAAGCCCTGGCTGATGTGGCTCAGCGGATTGACCGCCGGCCTACGAACCAAAGGGTCGCCGTTTTGATTCCCGGACAGATCACAGGCCTGGGTTGCGGGTCAGGTGCCCAGTAGAGGGCGCGCGAGAGGCAACGCTACATTGATGTTTCCCTCTCTCCCTTCCTCTCTATTGAAAAATAAATAAAATCTTTTAAAATATAGTTTAAAAATTGTTAAACATTCCAACATTCCTTTTTAAAATCAAACGTGAGGCTTATTGCTGTTGCGTATAATCAATGATATTGGATTTTCTTACACATGCATGGCTTCCTTTGCTCTTTGCCACTTCCTGCACTTCAGTTTTACAAACTGCAATCACTTTCCTTTTGGATGAAAACATCCTTGCCCTGGCGGTGTGACTCTGTGGATTGAGCGCCAGACTGCAAAGCAAAAGGTAGTTGGTTTGATTCCCAGTCAGGGCACACACCTGGGTTGTGGGCCAGGTCCCTGGTAGGTGGCTTGCAAGAGGCAGCCACACATTGATGTGTCTCTCCCTTTCTTTCTCCTTCCTTCCCCTCTCTCTAAAAATAGATCAATAAAATCTTTCTTAAATTTTTTTTAAAAAAGAAAACATCCTCTAGAGTCTGCTACTAGAAAACAATATCACTAGAAATAAAAGCAAATGATACTCAATCTGAAAAATGTCTTTATTTTATTTTCATCCTTGAAAACATGTTCTCCTTGAGCAGTATTAGTGTTGGGACACCAGATGTCAATGTTTTCAAAGTAATCTGACTTTTGCTGGCTACATTAGAGATTTCCTGTTTTGTTTTTTGTTTTTTGTTGTTGTGTTTGTTTTTGTTTTTTGTTGTGTTTGTTTTTGTTTTTTGGTATTCTGCAATTTCACTGTTATTTGTCTAGGTGTGAATTTCTTTTAGTTTATCCAGCTTGGGATTTTTTTTGGGGGGGACCTTAGGTCTGAGTTTTGGTATATTACATCAGTTCTAGAAAATTCCCAGCTATTTTCTGTTTAATTATAGCCTCTGCCCTTCTTCCCCTTCTCTGGAACACCAGTTAAATATCTACTAGGACTTTGCTTCCTTGCATTCTGGTATTGTTAGGTAGGATAGACAGCAACCTGAGGCAGGGAGAAGGAGGGAGGCGTGTCTCACCCACTAACTCAGCAGCCCTGAGCCTGGTCGGATAATAGTGCCAGGTGTTCTAACACCACAAGAAACACCGTGCTAGCACGGGAGGAAGGAGTCCTTGTGATTCTATGTGTCATTCCCACTGTCTGGGAAAGGAAGTCTGAAACTGTATTCATCCCAAGGCCTGGAAGGGGGAAGAGGAGGGGGTCCACAGTGCCCCAAGAAAAAGCCCATAAAACAACTTTGGTTAATTGCCTATCTGGTCACTCTGTTTTACAAGGAACCCCTAGTGCTTCCAGAAAGAGCCCATGAATAAGTTTGGGTAACTCCCTCAACTTCAATTAACTGCTTCCTATCATGTAGCTGTTTTATGACAAGATGAACAAATGTCGTCTGGAGTGAGATAAGAAATCGGGCTAACGGACACCCACATACACCTACATTTGGGTACTTAACACCCTGCCCCCGGCCCCGGGGAAGCTGGCACCCCCTATACCCATCAATCAATACATAACTTCTTCCCCCTCATCCCGCCAACTGTGGAAGCCACCAGGACCAAGGACCCGAGGCTCCTGCTGCCCTTGCCTTGCCCTGCCCTGGAGTTATGCCTCTTACCCCCACCTTAGCTAGGCCCCTTCTCCTTAGCAAGAATCAACCTTGCTTGCACAATAATCGACCTGTTGATCTGTAATTCTTTACTGTGTTGGCAATAGGACCGAGTTTCTCCTGTAACACTCTCATAGGTACCCCACTAGAGTTGCCAAAACAAAATTCCAAGACTGAGTGCTTAAACAACAGAATGTATTTTCTCACAGTTCTGGAGGTTGGCGGTCAGAGATCAAGGTGCCAGCATGGTTGGTTCTTAGTGAGAACCCTGTTCCTGGTTTGCAAAGGGCTGCCTTGTTGTGTTTCCCTAATGTGCGCCCGAGGAGCGGGATGGGCGGGCGGTGGGTGAGTGAGAAAGAGCAGTCTCTTGTTTCTTATCATGACACTAATCCTATTGGATCAAGGCCCCTGCGTGATCTCATTTAACCTTAACTACTTCCTTCAAGGGCCCATCCCCAAACAGCCACATTGGGTGGTTAGGGCTTCAACACATGAATTAGGGAGGAGGGACACAAATATTCAGTCCATAACACCTGGTAACTTAAAAAAAAAAAAAACTTTATTTATTTTTGGAGAGAGGGGAAGGAAGGGAGAAAGCGAATGAAAGAAACATTGAAGTGTGAGAGAAACATCGATCAGTTTGAAGGGGCCAAACTTTAACACTAGGTCAAGCCTGGGCCGAAACAAGAAACTAGAACAAACAATACCCCAAGATGAAGGGAAGAATTAGAGCCCCCCTTAGTAACAAGATAGGACAACGGCTGAGCCTTGACTCAGATAAACAGCCCATAAAAGCAGGGTCAGAGCTGAGGATAAGGGAGAAACAAATACCAAGAAAAACATATCAGGGTGCAGCCCCCATGCAGCTGGGCCAGAGTCGACAAGAATGAGGAGGAGGCATAGGGCAAGGGTTGAGCCTTGCCTCAGATAAACATCCTGACCAGAGAAAGAGTAGGGGGCCCAGTAACAGCCTTGAACCTAATCAGCAAAAAAAAAAAAGAAAGAAAGAAAGAAAGAAAGAAGCTGCCTATCGCTAACTGCCACTTCTCGCCCTTGTATCTTGCTTGCTTGCTCTGCTTATAAAAACCCGTGTACCCTTACAGCGGTGCGCCTTTTTCCTTTCGAGGGAAAGGTGGCCCCTGCGCAGGTAAAAACTTGGCCAAATAATAAAGAGTGTGTGATCAAACTCTAATTTCTGAGCTCATACTTGCGGGGGGATCATAACACAGTTGCCTCTCACACACCCCCAACTGGGGACCTGGCCCGTAAACCAGGCACGTGCTCTGCCTGGGAACTGAACAAGTGACTTCGTGGTTTGCGGGCCGGCACTCAGCCCACTGAGCTACACCAGCCAAGGCAACACTTGTTTACTTTTGACTGTATGATGCTCATTGTCCTTGGGAAATAATTCAAGCGACTTTCGGGATATCCAGGAGGAAGATGTGCTCCTCAGGAGAGGTTTCGTGTCTGTCTCCGAGTCCTGGGGGAGCTACATTCCCTATTAGCTTTAACTAAGGTTGTAAGTTGAGTGTCCTGAATAATCAAGTGATATGAATTTGGGCTGCAAATGCATGCAAAAGCAGGCTCTGGGGTGGTTCATATTCAGACTCCCTTGCAGTTCACCTTTTTGTTGATAGTGTAGCCCTGCGGGGCCCCAGATTTATGGGGACACGCGCTAAGCCTTGTGAAGCAACGGTAAATGTGGGGCGCAGTGTCCAGCATTCGGTCAAACATTATTCGGTGACTCTGTGAAGGTGTGTGTTGGGTGAGATTAACATTTAAACTGGCGGGCTTCCAGTAAAGCCAGTCACCCTCTCTAGCGTGGGTAGGGCCTCGTCCACTCAGTGAAGGCCTGAACAGAAGAAACACTGACCTCCCACCAGGGAGAGTAAATTCTGCCGGCAGAACTCCCCTGCCTCTCCGGCCGCTGGTCCACCCTTCGGGTTTTGGTCTTGCGCCTCCACAGTTGTGTGTGAGCCGATCCCTTAAATGAATCACTCAACTTGTATACACATCCCGTGGGTTCGGTTTCTCGCGAGAACCCGAATACAGGGAGCAGAGCAGACATCATTCTGACCTCAAATCACTAGAGTCTAGCTAGGAAAACAGATGCCAATTGCATAATCATGTACAAAAAAAAAAAAAAAAGAAAGGTGAGATGCCACCGCTGGTGGGGGGGGGGTGTCGCAGGAGTTGTCCAGGTCAGGGAAAGCCTGGAGGTGTGATCATCTGACCTGGAGCTTAGGTCAAACCAGGGGACAATGGCAGCTGGCGCAAAAAAAGAGCAAGACCGCGGCCAGAGAAAACAGAGGTGTGGGCAGGGCAAAGTCCACACCGGGTCCGGGGCAGACCCGGAGCGCAGAGACTGCAGAAAGCGCACCCGGAGCCTCGAAGCCCCTACGCTGCAGCAGCGCGCCTCCGCCCCAGCGTCTTCCCGCCCCGGCGTCCTCCCGCCCCTCACCCAATCCCCGGGCGTCAGCCCCGCCCCGCCCCCACAGACGTAACCGCTCCTCTCCCTGCGCCCGTGCGTCCACCAGGCCACGCCCCTACGTGACGTAACCGCGCCTCTCCCAATCCCGGGCGTCTCCGCGCCGTCGCTGGCGTCTCCGCGTTCCTGAGGCAGATCCGGGGTCGCGGCGCCGGGAGCATGGAGGAGCTGCTGAAGCGGGGTTTGGGCTGCAGCTTCGTCAAGGCCACGGGCCACTCCGGGGGCGGGTGCATTAGCCAGGGCCAGAGTTACGACACGGACAAAGGGCGAGTGTTTGTGAAAGTGAACGCCAAGTCGGAGGTCAGGCCCGCCGGGAGCCGGGCGGGCCGAGGGGGCTGAGCGCGGGGGCGGGGCCGGGGCGGGGGCGCGGTGGGAGCCCGAGCGCCGGGCCCGGGTCTGGGGCCGGACCCGCGGCCGCGCTCAGCGAGCCCGCCGGCGCCCGTGCGCACCGCGAAGGCCGCGGCTGGGAGCGAGTGCACACGTTGGGCGGCCTTTGATCAGGGACGGGAGCAGCGGTCCCGTGGCCTGGGGTTTGTCTGAACCTCCAACGTCAGAGCGGTGTCCGCGTTGCTGGAAAGGACGTGGCCGCTGCCTCGGCCTGACGTGCACACTTCTCTCGGGGCCGGGGCCTGGACGCCCGGGCTCGGGGCGCCGGCGGGCGGAGGCGGGGTCGGGGGAGCCGGTCGGCGCTGCTGGCTGGACGGGGGTGCTGATCCCGGCGTGGCCTCCTCACCCCCGGCACCATGGGCGAGGGGGCGGTTGGGTTTCTGCACAGGAATTTGTTGGGGGTGGGGTAGGAGCATTCAGTTTATTGCGGCCCCCCCCCTGCATTCCCAAGGGCCCTGCAGGGGAGAGCGGCCCCGCTGCCGCAGTGAGTCGTCGCCCCGGGTGGCGGGCGGGTCCCCGGGGGCCAGGACCCGGCCAGCGGGGGAGCGCGCCGGTGGTGTCCTTTCCTGGACATCCTTCTCGCGGTGTTTCATTTGCTTCGCAGAGAAGCGCGCGGCACCCGCGCGGGGGGTGGGGGGGTGCGGCCTCGGCGGTGCTGCTGTGCGCTCCAGGCCGGCCTTCCACGCCCGGCGCCCCGGACGTCCGCGGGGGGCCGCATGCGCGCACCCCTAGTGCGGCTGTTCCGCGACGTGACCCTTTCCCGCCCAAGTGCCCCCAGCAGGGCTCAGGCAGCAGCCGCGTTTCTAACTTGCTCTGTCCCGCGGGGCTTCCCCGTGGTCTTTGCTCCTGGGTGGCATCATCCTTCTCACGCCTGTACTTCCACCTCCGCTGGCATCTGTGCAAAACTTGGCATTGGTTGCAGGGAAAGCACGTTTTCTGTCCATGAAGATGAAACCACTTAGATTTTTAAACATTGTTCCAGGGCTGCTGTTCCTTCGGGTTCTTTTTGTCATCACAGTCCATTTTTCCAGTACTTTGCTAATTCTTCCTTTGCTGGTGAGTTCTTTACGGTCGTTTGAGAGACGGTTCCAAACGTGCCCGCTCCCAGCTTCCTTTGGCAGGGGCTGCGTCCTGCACGCGTGCCGCTCGGAGCGCAGACTCCGCGGCTGCTGTGCGACAGGGGACGCTGTGCCCGCCGTCGGCGACTTGCGGCTGTCGGATTCCGGACTAAGAAGACGGGCTCTGGGCTGCTCTGCCGGTGCCCTTCTCACGCCTCCTCGAACGGACCTTGTCTAAGTTGTTTTACCTCCTGAGTATTCTTTCAAAAACATTATTAAAAATTTATTGATTTTAGGGGGACAGAGAAGGGGAGAGAGAGAACTATCCACTTGTTCCACTTATGCATTTATTGGCTGGTTCTTACACGTGCCCTCACCTTGGCACGTTGGGGTGATGTTCCAACCAACTGAGGCCAGGGCTTGATTATTCTTATTATCAGCCCTTTGCATACACTTGTGTAATCGCTTTTCTCTGAGCCTCCCTTAAGCTGCGGGCATCTTGCAGCACTGGCCCCAGCTGATGCTCCCTTGCACCTGGGTTCAGCTCTAGAGCAGCAGTGTCCTTCGGGCCGGCTGGATGCTTAGGACCACGTAGTGGTTTCTGTGCGGAGCCTGGGCTCACAGATCCTCCTAAACCGCTCCCTGTGTTTAAAAAAATGTTATATCCCTTACTTTACCTTTCAGAAGAGACCCCTAGTGTGAAATACGGCTGGGGTCCAGGGGTTTTCTCTTTATATTCTGAAGAGAATGCTCTGAAAATTCTTAAGACCCAGTTCTTTCTCCTCAGTGACTGTAGCTCTTGAAGGTAGTATAGTAATATTTATGAAGGGTTTAGAATGGATTATGTGTTGGCTGCTAACTTGGTTAACCACGGCAGCAAGCCCATGATAGCGTTACTGTCATTAACCCCATTTTACAGATGAAGAAACGGAGGCACGAGAGCTTACGTAATTTGCTCGAGGTCCCAGAATTAGTAACTACGACGAGAACATGTAGAAGAAGGTCCCTGTTCGTAGGAGTCCCAGAAGGACGCCAAGCTGTCCATCGGCAGCAGACTGGCTGAACGTGCGCTGGAATTTTCCTAGGGCAGAGCTCTGCGCCGCAGTGGGAGTGAACTCTGCTGCTCTGACTGCTGGCGCACCCAAGTCGCCGTGCGCCGGGACGGAGGAGCCAGAGCTCCGTCTCTGTGTGCAGAAATGGCAAAGCAGACCCACCGAGTCTGCGGGCGGGACGTCCGATCTCCCCGTCTGTGAGGCAGTCGGGCGGCCGTGCTGACCCTGTGAGAGTCGCAGGCTTCTGCGTTGCACGCTGCCCTGCGTGTGCCTCTGTAGCGGTTGGACTCACCCAGGACTGTAAAGGGGAGGGATTACTTAGTCTGGGAAGTGAGGATTTCTGAGAAATCAGCCTGATAGTAGTTGAAATCTGAAGCCTGAGGAAGGCACTGACTGGGCTGAAGCTGGGGGGTTGTGTGGAGGCCTCAGGCCTGGAGGAACTAAAAGGTTCTGATCTTGAGGGGCGGGGCCGAGGTTGGGGCCCTGGATGAGGGTGGGAAGTGGGCAGGGTCAGACGTGTGGGGGGCGGGGTCCAGGGTGTAGGCAGAATCGCCAGCTGGGGTGTCCCCAGGGTGGGGGTGCAGGGTGGGCCGGCCTTCCGGAAGGAGGACTGCAGGGTGGGGAGCGCGGAGGCCAGGTGGAGGGTGGTCACTGCAGGCCGGGGGAGCAAGGACTTGTGGGTTAGGATGGAAGGGGTGTTCAGGACGACACGGTTTCCGGCGCTAGGTAGGAGATGGCACCGAGCTGGTGGTCCTTTCAAGTGAAAAGTGGCTACAGGCTCCTGGCACCTGCACCCAGAGGGCCCCCTTTGCCTGAGGGGCCAGGTGGCGTTAGCAAGCAAGGACGGACTGTCCGGTGTGCAGAGGAGCCAATGTTATGGCATTGGCTTTTGAGAAAAGAAAAGGCTTTATTGCAAAGTCAGCTGGCAGGGAGACAAGACTCAACTCTGTCTCCCTGATTGTGGGTTTGGGTGAAACTTGGGGGGTTAGGGACCAGTGATTGAGCTCTTTGGTTCTGGGTATTATTGAAGGTCAAAAATCTCTGAGCGCACTTCAGTGTGACGTACAGTTCTGTTTTGTCGTCTCTGAAACACATCTCAGTGCCTCGTCAGGCACAGGAGGGGGCCAGGGCGGCCCTGTGCTGCGGTTTCAGTGGGACGGGACTGGGGCCGAGGTGCGCGCTGAGGACGCCCCGCAGGCACAGTCCGGCTCTGCACCAGGCGTTCAGTGCGGCGTTGGTGGCGGCCTACTTTCCTCCCTCGGGAGAGAGTTTGGGTTCAACGACAGCGTGAAAATAGAGTCCAGCGCTGGACAGTACAGTCCTTATTCCTGTCCCGCGAAGTCGAAAAAGCGGTCTGTGTCCATTGACTGTGCTCGGGTGGCCCTGCTTCAGCGTCGCGGGGCCCGAGAAGGCGTGTCTCCACGGGAGCTCCCCAGAAGTGACCGCGCGCTCTCCTCTTTCCCTGCCTCCGTTATTTTTCCCTGACAGGCTAGGAGAATGTTTGAAGGTGAGATGGCAAGTTTAACTGCCATCCTGAAGACACACACAGTGACCGTGCCCAAACCGCTCAAGGTTCTCGACGCCCCGGGAGGTGGCAGCATGCTGGTGATGGAGCACTTGGACATGAAGTATCTGAGCAGGTGTGCCCTGGCGCCTTCCCCTCTGGTTGGCTTTGTTTTCTTTCTGGTGGTTCCTTCGTACCTGAGGCTTGTATTGGGGGTATCATTTTGAGGGCTGTGATAGGAGGAACCCATCACCCTACACGTTACGGGTTCTGCAGAGCGAGTAGCACATACCCCGCGAGCCGAAGGCAAACAGGAAAGGACCGTTGAGGCGAGAGGCCAGCCGCGGCCGTGGCTGCGAGCTCAGACGAGGCTGCGAGAGCCCGTGAGAGAGCGAGGGCCCATCGTCTCCCCTCTCGCTTCGCCACCAGAGCAGACTTGATGTCCTCAGAGCGTTCGGCCCGCTCTGCGTGGCCTGAGCCCTTCCACACGGGTGGGTGCCCGCGTCTGTGCACACGCTCAGTTGCTGCCGTTTGGTTTCACAGTCACGCTGCGAAGCTGGGAGCCCAGTTAGCAGACATGCACCTGGAGAACAGGAAGCTTGGAGAGACCCTGCAGACGGGGGCCGGCACCGTGGGTATGACCTTCTGTGGGCCGCGGGGGGCTCTGCCTGGAGGGGGGCATTGGGACCTCCGGGTGCCTGGGTGGGGTCCTGCCCCGGCCATCTGAGCGGGGTCAGGCCTGTGTTGATGCCAAGGGCGGGGAGTGTCAGCCCCAAGACGCGAGCTTGGGCTGCGGTGACCGCAGCGAGAGCAGTCCGTGCACAGCAGCGCAGGTGTGTTTGGAAGACGGGAAGCACTTCCTGGACCCAACCCCGTCGGGTTACGGTGCCTTTTCCCGCTTGGCCTGCAGAAGGAACCCTCGAAGTTTCTCCGGCTGTCCACGTAGTGCCTTTTCTCCTACGACCAATCTCACGTGAGGCTACACTGACAGCCGTCACATCCCGCCTTTTAGAGCCGAGCGCCGTCAGCATTGGGGGCGTCCCCCGGCGGTTCCATCCCTGACGCTCGGTAGTCCCCACGCAGCCTGTGTGGTGCCTTTGCTACGCGGGGCGGCGGACGCCAGAAGCAGGCGGCTGGGAACCCACCGTGCTAGACAGACAGGTCCCGTCAGACGCCGGCCCTGAGGGAACCTGCTGCTCTAGGCAGGCAGACCCCGTCGGACTCCTGTCCTGCTGTGAGAAGCCGGTGCGGGAGGCCGACGGCTCCCGTGAGTCACCTGTGCTGGGCCTCCCGGACCACAGGTGCTGGCTAGGGTTTGCCTTGGGTTTGGGGAGCCACAGAGGAGGGGACCGTTGCGAAGCGTAGCAGTTTGTCTCACAAGCGGCAGGTGCTGAGCTGGCCACTGCAAGCCATTCCGGGCCGACATCCTCTGGGTGTCCTCTGGTGTCGCTCCTGGAAAGCAGTGGGCATCCTCGGTGGTGAAGGGTGACGAAGAGGCTCCAGTCTTGGGTCCCGAGGGTCTGTGCAGGCCAGGGCGCCTCTGGACCCTCTGGATGGAGGCGCGAGGTGGGGAAAGGCGTGCTGGCCTCAGGTCTCGGTGCTTGGAGCTCCGAGAGCAGGGCCCGAGGGAGCAAGGCAGTGAGTGGTCCATCTTGTGTCTCCTCGGCTTTCAAGGCAGAGGAGGTGGGCAGGCAGACCGGCCCTTCGTGGACCAGTTCGGGTTCGACGTGGTGACGTGCTGCGGATACCTCCCCCAGGTGAGCTACGCCCGCGCTTGCCTGTTTCCCAGTTGGGGCACCTGTTCAGAAACTGCTGGGGAAAGTGCACCCTCTCCCTTTTGGTGAAATTTAGTAAGTTGCCGCTCCCTTTCCTTTTTTGCTAATTTTTAAGAGGTCGATACAGGAGGTTTGTCCCCTCACAGCTTACGTAAGCTCAGAGAAAGGACAGCAGGTTAGGAATGCTGGCTTTCAAGGTAGGTAAAAATTAGAAACTTTAAAAATGTTTTATTTTAAATAGTAAGGTCTCAAAGGTCGCGTAACGAAAAGGGATCAAAACTTTCAGTTTTATGATTTTACGGTTGGCTCCCCTGGGAATATCAGCCTGCAGAATTCTTCCTGACGCGCAGCAAATGCCGCGCGGTTGGGAGGGTTGCGTCTTCGAAGGGGGACTCCTGGGTATGGGAGAAAACTTGCCATGATTTCCTGGTGGGCAGGAGGGTGCAGCAGACACGATGCAGACTTTGCAGCGCTGCAGAGGTTGCCCGGGGGCTGGCGAGTGGCTGACGGCTCGCCTCCTGTTCCGTGTGGCCCTGGGGGTGTTTCTCTAGCTCTGCTCCTTGCTCTCCCGCCTGTACCTCGCTGGCTGTGTGAGCACGTGTGCACTTGTGGGAGGGTGTGTCCGGGTGAGAGTGCACGTGTGTGTGCGTGATGTTGTCATTTGGCATCACATGCTGCCCCCTGTGACCCTCTGCTCTTGTGTGTGCCTGTCTTGCCTCCCTCCTGGATGGCCAGCACCTGTGGCTGGCATGTCCCCTCATTGGTGACTTCCCACATTATCACTCGGGAGAGGGCAGTGCTGGAAGCTTGGGAGGTGCTGAAGAGGGGTCCTGTGTGGCCAGGTGGACAGACGAGTGAGCCACAGGCCAGAGAAAGCCGGCCAGCTCTGGCCTCTGCTCCTGTGTGAGCGCAGGTGGGAAGAGAGTGTCTCAGACCCCTTCCACGTGGACCCTGTGGCTCTGCGCTGGGGAGGTTCCCCTTGCTTCCCTCCCACTGCTCCGGGGACAGGCTCCAAGGCCCCGGGGCCCCGCGCTGTCCCGTCAGCTCCTGCCCCTTCCGCACCCGTCCCTGCCGTGGTGCCTCTCACGAGGAGCCCATTCCACTTTGGGTGCCTCTTTGAGCTCTGGCATGTCCCTCTGAACTCTGCTCTCTCTTTGGCTGCCGCCTGTGCAGGTGAACGACTGGCAGAAGGACTGGGTCGCGTTCTACGCCCAGCAGCGCATCCAGCCCCAGATGGACATGGTAGAGAAGGCGTCTGGGGACAGGGAGGCCCTCGAGCTCTGGTCTGCTCTGCAGGTGTGTGAGCCCCGCTGCACCGTGCCCACGTATCTGCAGCCCCAGCAGGGGGTGGTGCCGAGGCAGGCACAGCTGCTGTGGGTGTGGGTGTGGGTGTGGGTGTGGGTGTGGGTGTGGGTGTGAGGAGAGGGTAGGTGGGGCCGACCAGGAGGATGGCCCTGTGCCCTGCATGAGCCACACATCTGCATGCCACGCCCTGCTCCGGCGTGCGGGGCCCCACTCAGGAGGGCGTCTGCATCCCTCCCGCACGCATGGCTCACTGGGCTGAGGCCGCATTTCCTTCCTGCAGTTGAAGATCCCTGACCTGTTCCGTGATCTGGACATCGTCCCAGCCCTGCTCCACGGAGACCTCTGGGGAGGAAACGTAGCAGAGGATTCCTCTGGGCCCATCATTTTTGACCCGGCTTCTTTCTACGGCCACTCGGAATATGAGCTGGCAATAGCTGGTATGTTTGGGGGCTTTAGTAGCTCCTTCTACTCTGCGTACCACAACAAGATCCCCAAGACCCCCGGATTTGAGAAGCGCCAGAAGCTGTATCAGCTCTTCCACTATTTGAACCACTGGAATCACTTTGGATCGGGGTATAGAGGGTCCTCCCTCAGCATCATGAGGAATCTCGTCAAGTGACCTTGCCTTGGAGGGGGCCTCCAGTTCCGGTGTCCCCGACGCTGGCCCGGCGCCGGCGGCCGGCCCCTCCTGCTCCTCGCAGTCCCCTTCACACACCTGCGGCCGCCTCAGACCGACTTTGCAAGCCTTGGGGAGTACGTGGCCTCCCGGAAGAAAGGTCGCCCTGAGGTTGTGTATTTCGTCAGCCTTCATAGCTGGATAAGCCACACTAGCAATGAGATGGGAACGGGGCACCTGTGGAGCGCGGGCCGTGTCGAACCGCACAGCTGCTCCAGAAGCAGAGGAGGGAAGTGGCGGGTGCCCCACACGCTGCTGCCGCCAGCCCCTCCCGCTCTTCTCCAGGAACAGCCCGAAGTTCAGGACGGTGCCACCCGATGGCTGAGGCCTGGGTCGAGGCACAAAACCGCTCACCAGGAGCGCCTGGTAATGACCAGTTCCAACACCGAGCACATTCCATATGCTTTCTGTGGCCTCTGGACCAGCCACAGGCTGAGCAGGTCTGAAAATGACTTTGGGAGAGACCAAACTGCCCGCGTCAGGGCGTCCTCAGTAAATTTAGGAGCCAGTGGATCTCCCCTTAGCGCCCTGGCTTGGCTGCTGCTCCCTTTGCTTCAGGTAAAACCAGCGCTGAGCGGGGGCCCTCCCTCCTGCAACCCTGCGGGACGGGAATGCCCAGGAAGGCGCTGATGCTGCGAGTCCTTCTGCAGGAGCTTCCAGCGGTTTCAGGGGCAGAGCGGACTGTCTCCCTCATCGGAACTGTGGTTCAGTGCTGTACTTAGCTGTTCGCCAAGAACCCTTTGTAAGGTGTTATTAGAATAAATTGTTTCTTAGAAGAGCGATTCTTTTCCCTTGACTTTATTGAGTAAGAGAATGGCTTCAAAGTAAGGGCAGGCGGAGCCCGAGGACTTTCTGGTGTTTGACTCGGGCGCAGTTTAACGGCTGTTCCTAGTCACCCTGCGAGACTTGGTGCGCCGAGAAGGAGGCCGAAAGCCGCTGTCGAATCACGTTTCGGGGCGGAAGCCCATTCGTGGCTGCGGCGAGGCCTGGGGTTGAGCGGGGAGCACCCAGTGCTGGGGCGCGTGGGTCTCCCTGCGGTGGGCTGGAGGGTGGGCATCTGCGTTTCCGTCTCTATGACAGGCCGGGGCCCCTCGGCGGCGTGCAGGAGCACAACGATGCCTTCAGCGAAGTTCTGGCTGCGAGCAGGGAAAGAGGACTGAGGGTTTTTTGTTTTTGATTTTGTTTTTGTGTTGGTTTTAATTTTGGGGAGGAGGGAGGAGGAGCGGGAGAGGTCTGTCGTTCCAGTCGCTGATGCACTCGGGGGTTGATTCCTCTCTGTGCCGTGACCAGGGATCGAACCCACAGCCATACCCAGCGAGCACCCAGCCTGGGCCAGGCTGTGACTTTTAGGAGCCTGTGGCTCTTGGACTTGCGCACCTAGTAGGTCCTGGATGGCAGCGGGCCGAGGTTTAGCTTATTTTTCCCCACCCCAGGGAACCCGAGAGCTGCCTCCGAGGGAGTGGCCCGAGCCAGCCTCATCGTGCCGGCACGCGCGCAGGGCGCTGCCGACAGGCACGTGCTCGCCGGCACAGCACGGCCGCGGCTGGCTCCGAGCTGAGCTCTTCGGCAGGGAGGGCCCCCCTGCTGCGGAGGTGGCTTTGGGGTGCAGCTCAGGGCTCCTCCTCAGCAGGAGCCGCAAGGTCAGCGGGCAGATGCGGATGGAATGCGTGTTTTGTTCCGATAGATCTTTAAAGAAGAGTTTTCATTTCACATTCCTGTGATTGATGAGAGCCGCCGAGTAGGCGAGTGCCCAGACTGGCGTTTTGGGACCCTCTAGACAGGGGACAGGAAGGGACGCCTTCTGGCTCCCGCCGGAGGCTCAGTCCCTGGCAGGCCCTCTGGGTTAGGGGAGTCTGAGACACGAGGCAGCCTCCCTGGTGGCTGGTCACCCCCGGAAGCGACAGGCCCCTGGGCTGTTGGACCGGAAGGACGGCTCAGGCCCCCTCCCAAGAGACTCCTGGGTGCTGGGCCAGGCGCAGGGAATGGCCGATTCTGCCCTGCAGCAGCCTCCTTGGACGCCGACTTCCCTTCTGGGCAGCACAGCGTTGCGGTGACAGCTGGGGCCTGAGCTTCCCTGGGCTGTTCCGAGAGCAGGTCAGTCTCCCGGTGCTGCGCCGGTCAGCGAGGGCGGAGGGCGGGCATCAGGGGCACGCGCGCACTTCACTGACGCTCGTTCTGATGGTGCAGTGCTTGTCAGCTTTTTAAACCTTGCAGTTTGTTGCAGTTGCTCTCAAGTATTTACTTTTGTATCTAATTTTGTATTCATAACAAAAGGGGATAAGCTTCAGGCCCGAATGCCCCTGGCCACACCCAGTGCCGCTCTCTGTGAATCGCGCCTTGCCCTGCAAGCCCTTGCAGGCAGTGCTTCCTGAGGATGGGCTTCTGCTCCCCGGGCCCTGGCCTGGCTCACCTGGCACAAACGGGGGTGGGGGCGGCAAGGGATGAGGTCATGACTCGGGGAGGGGGCTGATTGCAGGGGACAGTTGTGCGATGGTGCCCTGGCAGGGCCCCGCCCCCGCCCCTGCAGAGCAGCCCGCTGAGTCCGGGCGGGCGAGGAGGCGGGCTCGGGCCGCGGGCTGGCCGCGGTCAGGGACAAGGGCCAGGCGATGGCCGCTGCCCCGCACACCCACCCCAGCCCCACCCCCGGTCTCGTCGCTGGGATGGTGGGACTGACTTCTTACTGAAAATGGGCTATTGTACCAAAACGCCGCATCGCCCGGCCCGGCCCGGCCCGTGGAGGTCAGTGGGTTGGGCGGCGTCCCCCCAACGGAAGGGGCTGCGCGCGCCGTTCCCACTCAGGGCACAGGCCTGGGCGGCAGGCCAGGTCCCCAGCCAGGGGCGTGTGCGAGACGCGGCCGGTCCGTGTTTCTGCCCCGCTCTTCCTCCCCTCTCTGAAGAGAAATGCAACCTTAAAAAGAGAAAAGCCACCCCACCTCATTATCTGCTCCTGTCAGGGCACCGACCTTTCCACAGAAGAGTCTTCGGGTAACGGGCTCATCGTCTGCCCCGAAGCGGCGACCCTGGCACGTGGGCTTCCTGCCGGACGCAGAGGATGCCGGCGCCCTCGCACCCCTCGGACCCGTCCCCGCCCGGCTCTGACCTCTGACGCCGCTGCCCGCCCCGCTTTCGCCCCTGAGGGGGTCCTGGGTGCATTCAGCTGGGGGTCCTCCTCTTCAGGTTATGGCGCATCATGGAGACTTGTTCTTCTGTCTTCTCTGTTCATTTCCCTTTGTACCCAAATCCTTCAGGGAGTCATGGAACCAGCCCGGCCTCAGAGAGGACAAAGGCGAGGCCTGGAGGCTCCCCCGGGGTTTGCGACCAGGCTGAGACACTGAACCCCAGAGCCTGGGCAGGTGCCCTGAAAACAAAGAGCCCAGGTCCCTCTGGGGCCACGTGGGGCTGCGCTCAGCCCGGCGGCAGGTGCCTGCGCATGCAGGGGGCTGTGCAGGCCGCCTGCCGGTGCTGCTGTGTGGCCACTAAGGTCTGCCGGGCAGTGTGGAGGGGACACCTGGGGACACCCTCAGCTTCACGTGTCAGGAGCCCTTGCTCAGGATGCACAGGAAGGGTGGGCTTCAGCAGACGCAGACCAGCTGGGAGGACCCGACCCGGAGGGCTCCCCTGCAGTGACCTCGAGCGCGCGCGTGCGCAGGCGTGTGTGCGCCTCTGTGCACACGGGCGCGCGGGCATCCGGAGAGCTCCCAGGGCGGCGGCTCTGTAATCAGGAGTCCCGGTCGAGGGGTGCGGTAGGGCCGGTATCAGAAGCCCCAGAGCTGCCTCTACCGCAGTGGGCATCGGGTGCCCTGAGGAGCCGACGCCAAGCGAGTGGGGGAGGGGGGGAGTCCCCAGGCAGAGCCTGCGATGAGACCCCGCGGGGCCCGGTCAGTGCGAGACCTGGCCGGGCAGGCGACCGACCTGCAGCTCAGGGGCAGCCGGTCCCCGCGGGCTGTGCCCTGGGTCCGGCTGGGAGGGCGGGGTCCCAGTCCTGTGGGGGCCCGTGGAACCTCCGTGCAGGGGGGTGGGGCCCTGTGAGCGCCTCAGGGGGAGAGCCCCGCCCCAACCAACCAGGCACGCGGGCTATGCGGACATAGGGGGGGCGCCCCACCTCTGCCCCCCCACCGTCGGAGCCTTCCTCTCTCTCCCTCCTCCTCCCTCCGACCGCCCTGCCCCCAGGGGAGGGGCCAGCAGGCGGCCGGGAGGCGGTACGCGGGCCGGCGCTCCGAGCGGCTGGCGTGAGGACCGGGCCTCCCCCGCGACCAGCGGCCTGGGCAGCAGCGAGCTCGCGTCCTTGGCTGCGCGGTCGGCGCCATCCTCGGGTCCCCCCGCGCGTCCCTTGGCCCCTTCGTCCCTGAGCTCCGCGCATCCCCCGCCCCCATGGAGCAGCTGCTGCGCGCTGAGCTGCGCACCGTGACCCTGCGCGCCTTCGGGAGCCCTGGCGGGGGCTGCATCAGCGAGGGGCGCGCCTACGACACAGATGCGGGGCCCGTGTTTGTCAAGGTCAACCGCAGGGCGCAGGTGCGGGGACTGGAGAGCGGGAGGAGGTGGGGGTGGCGGGAGGGTGGGAAGAGGGGAGGGGTGGGGAGCGGGGGAGGGGTGGACAAAGTGGGGAGGGGACGCGGGGCGGGGGCGCAGGCCGAGGGTGGCCCTTCCTGGAGCGAGCCCTGCGGGCGAGCGGGGCTCTGGCATTTCCTGGGGATCCCGGGGTATCATCTGCTGCAGGATTAGTAATTCTCGACCTTTCACCTGCATGGGCGAGTTTTCGTCTTTTCGATTTAATTTTCTACCCATCACGCGTGCCGGAGGTGGGTTCTGGGCTCTTCCGCCGCTTTCCTGCCCCTGCTCTGGGCTCGGTTTCCGCAGCTCCTGCCACCGCTCCCGCCCCCGCCCCCACCTCCCGCGCCCCTCGCCCCCCAGCAGGTTTGGAAGAGGCTGGACGGCGGCCAGGCTCCCAATTCCCTTTACTCGGAGGCCCTGCTGGTGCTTGCACTTGGTTTCCATCTCCTCTTGACACCGTTTCTGTTAAACACTAATCTGTATGGAAATACAACGATTTATAAGTGGAGAGAGTCGGCCACAGAAGGCGGGCCTGGCCCCCTGGGTCCGGGCGAGGCGCGCGGGCTGGCGGTGGGCTGGAGGGAATGCAGGCAGCGCACCCCAGTCCCCGCAGCGCTGCCCTCGTCTGGGAGGGGCTGCGGGCTGCGGGCGGAACTGGTCCAGCATCCCTGCTCTGGGGCCCCGAACGGTTGAGGGCTCAAATTTTGGAAGGAATTCCTCGGAAGGGGAAGCCCCACCCACGGGAAAGCGTTTTGGGGTTCGGGGTTCAGGCTGGCTCTGCCTCCGGAACCTGGGAGCTCTGCCAAGCTGGGACGCCAGCGTTCACACTTCAAACCCTCAATGCCAGCAGGTAGCAGGGGCTCCGGGAATGCAGGAGAGCAGGCACAAGCGCAGCCTCCGCTCTCCAGGGCTCCCGGCGTGGGGGCGGGGCATCTAGGAGGGCACCTGGCCTGGTGTTCCCCTTGGGCATTTCGAACTAAAGGATGGACTCTTTGGCTGTGTGGATGTGAATGCTTTGGTCTCACCCACGGGGTTCGATCCCACAGCGAGAGACGCGCACATAGCACAACAATGAGCACATTTTTAACTGGGGCAGAGTATACCTACAGCGAGAGTTCCTCGGCTTTGGGGGCGGCCTGTCTTTTTCCAGAGGTGGGTGCACGGGTCCTTCCCAGCCCCCGGCCCTGCTGGGAATTAATTGGTCTCTGGGGAGCCCCGGGTCTCCCAGCCCCACCCCCCGCCGCCCCAGCCACTGCTGCATGCCACCCCAGCCCCTGAAGCGTCCTCCCTTTCCTGGGATTGCTCCAGGCAGTGTGCGTAGGTGGGGGGGCAGCCTGGAAGGGAACCCGAGGCCAGCACCAGATCCTCCACTAACCCACACCCTGAGACGTCCCACCACACCCCTGACCCCCGTGGCATCCCCCAGCTCCGCAGGGACCTCGTGCGGCCTGTGCTTCCGCACACCCGTCCCCGAGCCAGGGCTGCCGCAGGGGCGTCTGCACCCTGCCCGCCCCGAGCCCCGGCTCAGCCTCACCCTGGTAGCCCCTCCCATCTGAAGGGGCCACGTCGCACCCTCTCTGAGGGGCCGACGCCTTGCTCCCCAGCCAGTTTTCAGCTACTGAGGGTCCTGGGTGCCTGTGACCCCTCGCGGTGGCTTCTGCCCAGGGCTGCCAGCCACAGCCTGGCTGCAGAGGCCCCCGTGGGAGCGGGCGCTCATGGCGGTGTTCTGGACGCAGGCCCGGCAGATGTTTGAGGGGGAGGTGGCAAGCCTGGAGGCCCTGCGGAGCACCGGCCGGGTGCGGGCTCCTCGGCCCATCAAGGTCCTCGACCTGCCTGGGGGCGGGGCCGCCTTTGTCCTGGAGTACCTGAAGATGAGGAGCTTGAGCAGGTGAGAGGGGCAGCCTCCAGGTCCCTCCGCCCCGCCGCCGCCGTTCTTCATGGCGACGAGGAGCTCTTGCCGTTGGGAGCAGGACTGGCTAGGTGGCTTGGGCCCAAGGAAGCGGCCTCAGAGGCGGGCGTTGGAGCCGCCCTTGCCTGCGCTGGAGAGCGCGCTCCTGCACAGTGAGGTCTGACCTGGTAACCATCTGAGGTCCCTATGTTTTTTTAAATTGTTAAAGTTATATATACTCACTGTTAAAAAAAAAAAAAAGGTAGAAAGTACAAACTCATGTAAAGAATACATAAAGCCACCCACGATTCCAGCAGAGGCACCAGCCACCAGTCACATTTTGGTGCGTTATTATCGTCCTGGTCTTTAAGAAGTTTTTTTACATTAAATTTATGAGGGCGATATTGGTAAATAGCGTTACGTAAGGGTCCGGTGCCCAGCCTTACAGCACGACATCTGTGCGCTCCCCACCCCGGGCCTAGTCTGTCTCTTTTTGTCGCCTTGTGTCGGACCCCCGTGTCTCCCTCTCTGTCCGCCCCCACCCGCTTTCCCTCTGGTCTGGTCTTTTTCTTACATGTGATTTACATATTGTCTGTTTTACAAAAGTGGGATATGGGTTTTAACCCAATGTTACTTTCTGAGCATTTGTCCCATAGCTCTCGGTACTTCTTAAGGCCTCTGTTGATACGCACCTGCTTTCTGCCTCTTGCTGGTTTGACACTTTTTTGGAAAGGGTCGCTGCCTGCCATTCCTTTTTCACTTTTTAGAGCATGGAGAGTAGTTTTTGAGGCATTTAAAACACTTCTCGAAGTGGAACCTGCTAGCTGGTTGTTGACAGTTATTCCTTTAATGGGCTGCATTTCTTTTTTCAGTCAGGCATCAGAGCTTGGAGACCAGGTGGCAGATTTGCACCTTTACAACCAGAAGCTCCGGGACAAGTCGAGGGAGGAGGAGAACACAGTGGGTGCGTTCAGATCACCTCTGTGCCCCCCTGGCCCGGGGCGCCCACCCTGGCCTGGTGCTCAGGGTGACATTTCAGGAACAGGCTGGATTGCATGTCATCTCCCTCTGTTCTCAGTGTGCAAATGAGATTGTTAAGTGGGAATTTCGATGGAGCCAATGGGCAAATAGAATGGGCTCTGGCCCCTTTTATACCCGGCCCTGCTGCCCCATGTGCTGAGGCCGAGGGTCCCGGCCGACGCACGGGCTGCGTAGCTGTTAGCCTGGGTGGTGCGTCCGCAGACTGCCCATGTCCCGGCAGCGCAGCCAGGCCTGTCCTGATGTTCTGCCGGGGTCTGGCATCGCAGAGGAAGACGACGTCTCTTCCCGTTTGCAGGCCGGAGGGCTGAGGGTGCCGAGCCGCAGCATGTGGGCAAGTTCGGCTTCCACACGGTGACGTGCTGCGGCTTCATCCCGCAGGTGAGTGCCGCGGTCCGGGCGTGCCTGCTGAGCGGTGGCCCTTCCGCACCCTCGTGCTGGGCCCCGCCCCTCGGACGTGGCAGTGGCAGTCCCCGGGCACCAGGAGGGTGGACTGCCTGACTTCCGGAAGCAGAGGGTGCGCTGTGACACTTGGGATGGGGGCTCTGAGCTGGGCGGTGGGAAGCCACGGGGCGGGCGGAAGGACGTTCCAAGGAGAGGGACTGGCGGGTTCAAGGGCCACATTTCAGGAGGGCACATGACAAATGGAGCGCTGGGTGGGGGCAGAAGCAGCACGCGAGGTCAGGGAGTAAGTCCTGGTCACGCAGTCCCTCTCCTGGGGCCTTTAAAAAATGAATGGTGCTGTTGAGATGTGACCCACGTGACAAAAACACTGCGTTAAAGTGTACAGTTCAGTGGTTTTTAGTAGATTCATAATGTTTGCAACAATCACCATCTAACTCCAGGACATGTTCATCGCCCGCAAAAGAACGCTCGTACCCATTAGTGCTCACTCCCCTTCCCCTGCCTCAGCCCACCCTGGTGACCTCTGATCCTTTCCTTTTTCTGGATTTCTTATTCTGGGCATTTCATGGAGGCACAGCCACCCAATGGCCAGCCTTGTGTGTGTGTCCGTGGTATGTGCAGCGGGCGGTGCTCCGGGCTGAGGTCACGGGGGCAAGTCTGAGGCAGACTTAGGGATCCCAGCCCACGGGGCAGCCCTCACACATGGGCCTTCTTAGACCCCCTAAATCTCTGCAGAAGCCAGCTCCCTGGGGGGTACCCCCCGGTCTGGAGCTGGTGACAGCAGAGGCATAGCGGTCCCCAGCAAGCGTGGCTGAATGGGGCTCGTTGCCCTGCTTCAGATGGGGAAGCCACTCGTGCAGTGGCTTTCCAAGAACCGAGGCAGGAAGGCACACACAGGTGTGAAGCAGGTGAGGAGCGCTGGTTCGTCAGGGGCACAGGCAACCCTTGAGTGCCCCTGCAGATTCCACTCGGCAGGCCAACACGAGCCAGCCACAGCCACCAGGAAGGGGCGGGGGACGGGAGGGCCATCTGGTCTACCTCCTTGTGCTGTGCCAAGGGGCCCGAGGACTGGCCCCAAGTCCCAGTTCTGCCCCTCGGGGCACTGTGGCCATTGGAGGGGCAACGCTGAGCGGTGGCGGCGGGCGTGGCGCCTGGGGGCGCCTGGGGCGCTGACGCTGGTGGGACCGGCGGCTCAGCTGCGGGACAGACGTGCTGCGCCCCAGGCGCCGTTCCGGAGTTTTATCCTGCTCAACTCTGCCAGCTGCCGCAGCAGCCCTGCGAGGCGGGTGGCGCTGCCCAGTGGGGAGACGAGGAGGCTGAGGCCCACGGGGGCCAGGCGGTGACCCTGAGGTCGGGCAGCCAGTCAGCGGAGGCTCCAGGGTTGGACCCACAGCCTGGCTTCCAGCTGCCACGCTACCCTGAGCCTCCAGCAAGGCGACGGGTGGTCCCTCCAGCAGCTGCACCCCCAGGTGGCCCTGCCTTTGGTGGCTCAGGGGCAGGTCGTGTCTTCCCGTCGGTGAGGGTCATGGCCCCTCTGCCCGGGTGCATGGACCAGGCCAGCGGGTGCCGGCCCCCAGCGCCCAGCACCCAGTCAGCACCCGTGTGGCCTGGCCGTCCAGGAGGAAGACAGAGCCTTGGACACTGGGGCCTGGGGAGGCCCCACCCTGGGCCCCAAGCTGTTTGGAGCGGGGCCTCCCGCCTGCTCTCGAGGTGCATTCGGCACCAAGCGGTGGACCCAGGGGCTCAGGGCCGTAGCGCCCAGCACACGGAGTGTCTCCAACGCGGAGCAGGGAGGCCCCCTAAGGAGTTTCACGAAGGAACCCTTCGTGATGACTCAGCTTTTCATCCCTTTGTGATGACTCAGCTTTTCATCGTAACAAACAACCCCCCAAACCCCTCTATTAGGGTGTAGTTGGCTCACAATGAACCGCACCTGTTTAAAGTGCACAAATTGGTAAGTTTTGATGTGTCTGTACACCCAGGAACCTGTCACCGCAGCCGGGATAGTGAGGCCATCTATCACCCCCAAAAGTGTCCTTTTGTGTTCTCTCCCCCCGACCGCCCCTGCTGCTGGCAACCACCGATCTGCTTTCTGTCACCATGGACGAGTTTGCGTTCTGGGGAATTTAATGCGAATAGAATCATACGGCAGGAACCCTTCATCTTGCTGCTTGCGCTCAGCAAAGTCGCTCTGATATTCATCCGTGTTGCCGCACGTGTCTGAAGTCCGCTCCACTATGTGGAGACACCGCAGTCTGTTTTTATCTGCTCCTGTCGATGGATGGCTGGGTGGTTTCCAGGTTTTGCTTCACAAATAAAGCTGCTGCGAACCTTCGCGAACAACGGTGTGTGTGGACAAATGCTTCTGTTTATCTTGGGTAAAGAAATACCTGAGAGGGCAATTACTGGGTCATATGGTAGGTTCATTTAACTTTTTAAGAAACTGCCAACATTTTCAGTGTCCCACCTGTGCTTCCAGCGGCAGCGTGTGAGTGTTCCGGTTCCTCCCTGTCCTCCCCACACTTGGTGTGTTCTGTTTTTAACACTGCAGCCGCTGTAGTGCGTGTGGGGTGGTCTCACTGGAGCCATTCTCCCTGACGAGCAGTGATTGGGAGCATCTCCTCCTGCGTCTACTTGCCACATACGAGGGGTTTAAACGTTTAGGATTATTTTGTCCTCTTCGTCAATTGTCCCCTTCCTTGTGAAACGACTTTCTGTTCCATACTTGGTGATATTCTTTGCTGAAACCGGCTTTGCCTGATACCGACAGAGCCACTCCAGTGTTCTTTTGTCTAGTGTCAGCATGGGATATCTTTTCTGTCCTTTTGACCTATTTCTGTTTTGATATGTGGAGTGCATTTCTTGTACACAGCTTGTAGTTGGGTCTTGCTTCCTTTTTTCCAACCTGCCTGTGCCTGTCGCCTAACGAGGGCATCTAGGCGTTCCATTGAATGTGCTCATTCATGTGGTTGGGTTGGAACTGTCATCTTGCTGTTTCTCGATTTGTCCTGTCTGTTCTTTGTTCCTCTTTTCCTTTCTATCATCGCTCTTTTGGATTAGCTGCGTGTTTTTAATGATGCCACCTTATCTCGCTGTGGGCTGGCTGTAGTGCTTGCGTGGTCTTTTAGCGGCTGATCCGGGATTTCGGCGGGTGCTGTGTGTGGCCGTCCTGTGGCCTCCAGCTGCGGCGTCAGCCTCTCTCCCGTTGCTGCCCAGGTGAACGAGTGGCACGATGACTGGGCGACCTTCTTCACCCGGCACCGGCTCCAGGCGCAGCTGGACCTCATCGAGAAGGACTATGCTGACCGGGAGGCGCGAGAACTCTGGTCCCAGCTGCAGGTGGGCACGGCGTCACCCTCTGAGCGAGCGGCTGCCCTCCCGGGAGCCCACCCCATCCGTGTGGGGCCCTCTGGAGTTGGGACCTCTGAGGCCTGCAGCAGAGCTGGTCCAGCCGTGGGCACGTGGTGCCTGCCTACCGACCTGATGGGGAAACTGGGAGGGGTGGGACTCGAGGACCCCTTGTCCCCTGCGTGTGCCTCTCACCTGCTAGGTCACCAAGTTCTTAAACCTCAGACTTTGCTCATGTGAAACACAGGTACTCGGGTCGTAAACGGTGGCATTTACTATCACTTCCTGTCCACTTTCACCCTGTTCTTCCTTTTCTGCCAAAGCACTAATGTTTCACCTCTTAGAGCAGATGGGGCAGAGGATGCCCGAGGGACTGGTTTCAAAACAACACCCAAAATGTCAAAAATGCAACTCGCATATCCATCCAGGGTGAGCATGCATTGAAGAAGCGTTCATCTCTTCAGTGGGGTAACTGGTAGGACACAAAAGAGATGCAGATGCAGGTGCTGTGAAATAAAAGACAAGTGGAGAAATTTGCTAAGTTAGGCACAAAAAACTTCACTGAGGTTATATGGCTCCTGTTCTATAGGACACTAGAACCATAACCTCTGAGGTTCAGTACTGTGTGGGAATCACTGTGTGGTAGAGCGGATGCACCAGAGTCTGTATGTGTAGGGGGGTGTGTGTCACGCACACACATATATGTATGTACTTAAAGATTTTATTTAGTTTTAGAGAGGGGAAGGGAGGGAGGGAGGAAGAGAGGGAGAGAAACCTCAATGTGTGGCTGCCTCTCGTGCGCCCCCCCATTGGGGACCTGACCCCACAACCCAGGCAGGTGCCCCAACTGGGAATCGAACCGGCAACCCTTTGGTTCACAGGCCGCCGCTCAATCCACTCAGCCACACCAGCCAGGGCTGTCTGTAGTCAATACTAAGACAAAGTTACATTCCCCTGGGGTCAGAGGGTCCTTATCTACGGGCTGGCTTGGACCCCGAACATACACGAGGTCATCTTTGCCTTAGTACCGTGTGTTGGATGAGGAGACTATGGCTGAGAGTCTGATGATAACTACGTGTCCAATAATTATTTTCTTAGGTGAAGATCCCGGATCTGTTTTGTGGCTTAGAGATTGTCCCCGCCCTCCTTCACGGGGATCTCTGGTCAGGAAATGTGGCTGAGGATGACTCCGGGCCCATTGTTTATGACCCAGCTTCCTTCTACGGCCATTCTGAGTTTGAACTGGCAATTGCCTTGATGTTCGGTGGCTTTCCCAGGTCCTTCTTCACCGCCTACCACCGGAAGGTCCCCAAGGCTCCTGGGTTTGACCGGAGGCTGCTGCTGTACCAGCTCTTTAACTACCTGAACCATTGGAACCACTTTGGGTGGGAATACAGGAGCCCATCCCTGAGCACCATGAGGAAGCTTCTCAAGTAGCAGCCGGCCTGTGTCCCTGCCCACCTGTTGGCCTGTTCAGCAAACACCTGGGGGCAGCGACCGCGGGGGCAGCTTCAGGGGCTAACTAATAAAGCCAGTGGGGGCTTCGCGGACTGTTCTGCCTGCTGTTCGCCTGTGCCTCCATCCTCCATGCACGCGGGCGTTCACAGGGTGCCAGACCGCCTGAAGGTCTCCAACGGTCCACACATCACAGTCTGGGGGATATTCGAAGTTTGGATATTTTCACGATACTTGTATAGAAAGTCACAGATTTGGGCTTTGCGTATGTGGAAAATGGTGCCCCACCCCTGTACATGTGGGGCTCCTGTCTTAGCTCAGGCAGAGTCGTGAACCACGAGCCGTGCCCCACTCCTTAAGCAGCAGCTCTGGGCATGGGTGGGGCTCCACGTCCACCCTTGAGGTGGGAGAGGTGCGTGGAAGGGCCCCTGATGTTGTGGGGGCCTGCGTTTGGGCTGCAGCCGCTGCCCAGCCCCTCTCCTCCTCCATTTTTTAACTAGTGTGTTTGCTGCTGGATGAAAAGAGGGACAGCAGGGAGCGAGGCTTGGGCAGCGGGGTGTGCCCCGCAGCGGGGAACGTCTGCGGTGCACAGGGTGCTTGGGATACCAAGGTGTCCTCCTTGTTCAGGATGTGGGGCTGTCTGGGGACAGGCAGTGCCTGGCAGGGGCTCCGGGGCATCATGGCTGGGGCATCCGGGTTCCACTTGTGTGGCTCTAAGGTAAGGAGGCCACGTGATTAGCACTCCCCGCAAAATTCCCCACTAATCCATAGAGGTAGGAAGGCCCAAATCTCTCTCTCCTGTGAAGTGTGGTTGTCTAGCGGGATTCATCCCCAGTGCAGACGAGGAGCCTATGGAAGGCTTTTCCCAGAAAGAGTCCTCCCCAAACGCTTCCGTCTAGACCTGTGAACGTCTCAAACGCAAACTGCCCTCGTGGGCGGAACCACGTCTGCTGGACGTGATAGCGGAGGCAGCCAAGGCAGCTGCAGGACCGAGGGAAAGGGCATGAGGAAGCCGGAGGGCCCCCGCCCGAACCCCAGCGTGGACTGCACCCCTGCCACGCCCCCCGGGCCGAAAGGGCACCACCCATCCCAAGGAGCTCAAACCCCACCGCCCCGACCCACGCGACCCGATTCCCCTAACTCCTCCCCCACGACGGGCCCAGACGCCTGACTCCGCCCCCATGAAGGGTCCCGAAACGCCAGGCTCCGCCCCCACGACGAGCCCCGGTTCCCCTGACTGCGCCCCTACCACAGGCCCAGACGCCCAGGCTCCGCCGCGACCCCACCACTTCCCGCGCCGCCGCGTCACGCCTTCCGGGCTCGGCTCTCCCGGGCCCCGCCCCCCGCCCCTCCCCGTGCGAGCTCGGCTCCGCCTCCGGGCGCCCAATTTTGACGGCCGGCGCGCGCCGTAGCGGGCCCGGCGCGTGAGGTCAGAGGTCGCGGGGCGGGGCCTGCGTCGGCGGCTCTCTTCTCTGCACAGCGGTTGTCAGCGTCCTGCATCCCGCGTTCCGGTGCCGAGGATGGGTCTGAGCGAGGAGCCGCCCGCGGGCGCCCCGGAGGACGAGCTGGAGGACGGGCCGGAGGACGGGGCCCTGGCTCGCGGCGGTGCTCTCGAGGCCTTCGGCGACAGCGCGGAAGCGCGCGCGCTTCTGGGCGGCTTGCGGGCGGTGCTCGGGGACCGCGGGGCCCGGGAGGGCGTCCTGCAGCGGTTCCGAGGTGCGTGCGGACCCGGGGGCGGGCGAGAGGCCCTGGCGCTGCCCGGGGTGCGCCCTGGGCCGGACCCGCTTCCTTTCTGGTGTGACTGCCTGGGAGCCGGTGTGGCGCGGGGGCGGCCGCGCCCGGGGCGGAGGGCCGCTTGCGGGCGAGGGAGGCGGTGCTGTGGGCCCGGGAGCTGCCGCCCCGCCCCGCGGCGACGGGCGAGCTTGGGTCCTCGGACCGCGCGGGGACCCGGGGCAGGGAGTGGGGCGCATGGGACGAGAGGTGGCGGAGCCTGGTGCCTGACAAAGCCCCGCCAGCTGACAGCCTCCTGCGCGGGTTACCGAGCCGCGTGGCGGCTGGGAGAAGGGCTGAGCCCTGGGCGCGCATCCCCGCCTCCCGGGGCTGAGCTCGGGGAAGGAGGGAAGGAAGGTTTCCCGCCGCTGCCGGCAGAGGGAGGGCGTGGACGCCCACGGAGCTGCACCCGAGGAGGTGCTCGCCTGGAGCTGTGTCGGGGTCCGCGCCCGAACAAGGATGCTCTCGCCCGTCCAGGAACCGGCCCGCGGCGAGCGGGTCCCCCGGCGGGGTGCCTCACTGCGCCTGTCGGGGTTTCACGCTGGACCTTCGACCAGCTCCTCGTCCAGGAGAAGCTGCGGGCAGGGGGGCGGTGTCCTCGCAGTCGCGGGGCGTCCGCCGGGCGGGGACGGCAGCTGTCGCGGGACCGTCACCGGGAGTGTGGGGTGGTGCGCGGCACTCGTGTTAGTAGGGTTTCGTTCTTTAGTGAAACAGTGTTTGCGGACCCTTTTAGCTAAAGAAACTTGTGCACCTTTTGACTCCCGTGGGCTGCCGTGAGCGACGGCCCTCCGAACCCCCGGTTGCCCCACGGCCCCTGCTCGGTTTCCGCGGGGTCCGCCCGTGCACTGGCTCGTGCGCAGAACTGCCCGGCGGGCGGGCGAGTGGCCAGGGCCGGGGAGCCCGGGGTCCTGCGCCTGGGAGGCGGCCACGTGTGGAGGGCGGCAACGCTGCTGCGGGTTCGGGAGGCCGGGATGGGAGGGCGTGTGGCCGGGGCGCGGTGGGGGAGGGGGCATTGGGGAGGGGAGACCGCGCGCGCGACGGTGGCGGGCCTGAGAGGGCGGTGTACCCCGCAAGCCAGGAGCACCGGGCGGGTGCAGGGCCCCGGGGAGCGCGCCCGGGCCGCGGGGCTCTGGGGAGCTCCCCTGAAAGCCGGTGAGGGAAACGCGAGCGTTTTCGGGCTCCCGCGCACGTCGACCTCAGCGATGATGACCCTCGCGTTCCTCTTCCCAGCAATCATGGACAAGTACCAGGAGCAGCCGCACCTGCTGGACCCGCACCTTGGTAAGAAGCCGGGCTGAAGGGGGCGAAAGACAAATACCATGTGATCTCACCTATAAGCGGAACCTAACCAACAATACAAAGATGCAAGGAAAATAAGACCAGCAACACTGAAAGGAAAAGAAACCAACAGAGACAAGAGGGAAGGGGGGAGGGGGGCGGGGACAAGGAAGGGAAGGGGAACGTCAAGGAACTTATAGCAAGGACTCAGGGACAAAACCAAAGGGGAAGAGCTGAGGGAGGGGCCTAGGGAAAGTGGGGGGGGGGGGGAGGCAGAGACAAATGTATTTGAAAAAATAAATTAAAAAAAAAAAAGAGCCCGGGCTGAGGGCTCTGGTGCAGTGGCCCGGGTACAGGCGGCTCGGTGGGCGCCTCTGCCCGCAGAGGGTGCCGCCCGACGGCCTGGGTCTGGCAGGTCAGCAGGGCCTCTGGCAGGGGCGTGAGTGCCACGTGGGAGCTGCTTTTCTCTGAGGCTGTGGAAGGATCTGCCTTTACTCGCCACGTGCGCGGCACTCCGTCCGCCTCCGGCGCATCTTGCTGCACAGGAGCCAGTGCTTTAGGTGGGTCCCCACGCAGTCCTCACAGCACCTGAGCAGGGTGCTGCCAGGAGCGGTGTGGGGGTCCCTGACTTGAAGCCCTCATTTGCTTGTTTTCGGTGAGGAGAGGGCGGGGGGAGGGAGAGACTGGCTGCCTGTGTGTGGGACACACCGCACCTGGGCCTGGGCCTGACCGGGAACGGAATGGGGCAGCCACGCCGCTCAGGGCGTGTTTCTTTACCTTGAGTGCAGGAGGATGGTTTGTGTTTTTTGTATCTTTTCTCATTCTATTTATTTCATATTGATAGTTTTTTTTCCAGTTTTTTTTCCCTGTAAAAAGTAATATACGCTTCTGTTGGTGAACGTGGTTAGGAGGAAAGAAGCAGTAGGAGCTTCGGAGGAAAGGCGGGGTGGGGCCAAGGCCGCCCGGCTGTAGCCTGGCCCCCCGGCTGGCACCCCGTCCGCCGCCCCGGGCCTGGGTCCTCGCCTGGGTCCTCGCCTGTGGACCGGGCTGTCAGCGCTGCCTGCCCCACAGGGCAGCTGAGGTGCAAAGGTGTGAACGTGTCAGTACCACGTTCAGCTTCATTGCGCACACGTGTGCCTTCTAAAAGTGGGCCGGTGCTGTGCGCATCGTTCAGTGCCCAGTGGGTTTTGGAGGAGGTGAGCTCCTAACCCTCCTGTCTGGCGCGGAGCAGTCCTTGCCTGGTCGCCTGGCTGGTGGAGGCCGGACCTCACCCAGTAATGCCAGGACCCAGGTCTGAGTCTCTGTTTCGGGAGCCTTTTTCCCTCTAAAAATCCCCGGAGTCTGGTGTTTCACGATGTGTGCCGTGCCGTGCCGTGCCGTGCCCAGGCCGTCTTTTCTTACAGGGGCAGCTTTAGGCTGAAGGCTCGTGTCCTTCAGCCCGAGGAGCTTTGCTCCTGGGGAATGTTGGGTCACTCCTCTGCTCCTGCTCCTTCTGGTGCACCGGGAGTTGGGTGTTGGATTTGCAGGAGGGATCCTTGGGGTCCATCAGCTTTCTCCTCATAGGTCTGTGGTGTGTGTGTGTGTGTGTGTGTGTGTGTGTTTTAAGATTTTATTTATTTTTAGAGAAAGGGGGGGAGAAAGAGGAAGAGAAACATCCATGTGTGGTTGCCTGTCGTGCGCCCCCTACTGGGGACCTGGCCTGCAACCCAGGCCTGTGCCCCAGCTGGGAACCGAACCCGTGGCCCTTTGGTTTGCAGGCTGGTGCTCAGTCCACTGAGACATACCAGTCAGGGCTCATAGTTTTGCTTGTTGATCTTTGTTTAACCCATGGAAGGAGTTTTGAATTTATGTTGCCAGTTGTTTTTATTTTCTGAGAGCTCTTATATTTACTCTGTGTCCTGCATCTTTGTTGAAGTCACTTATTTTAATATTTGTCATGGCGTCTTGAGGCTCCTCTCTATATAGTATGTCATCTGCAAAGAATGAGAGCTTTACCTCTTCCTTTCCAATCTGGATGCCTCTTTGGACGGCCGTAGCTGGGACTTAGGCGTCACGTTGACTAGGCCTGGTGATGGTCGGCTGCTGCCTCTTGTGCCTGATTTCAGAGCAGAGACTTTTAGCTCCTTGGCTTTGAGGGTGTGGTGATGGCTGCGGCCTTGTGGTGTGTGGTCTTACTGTGTTATGTTCCTTCCGCTCCCACTTGGTAGTTTTTTTAAAGATTTTATTTACAGAGAAATAGGAAGGAAGCATCCATGTGCAGTTGCCTCTTGCACGCCCCCTACAGGGGACCTGGCCTGCAACCCAGGCGTGTGCCCTGGCTGGGGATCGAACCGGCGACCCTTTGTTCGCAGGCCGGCGCTCAGTCCACGGAGCCGCACCGGCCGGGGCCCCACTTAGTTGATAGTTTGGATCACAGAACGATACCGTATTTTGTCAAATGCATTTTCTGTACCTCTTAACGATCATGTGGTTTTGTATTCCTTGATTTTCTTTTCACTGTTTGTCAGACCCTGAGAAGCCCAGAGAAATCTTCAGCTGTAGTTATAGTTGTGTATTTCTCCTTTTAGTTCTCAGTTTTTGCTGGATTTTGAAGCTCTGTAACTTGTCTAAATTAACTTTTTTTTTTTTTTTGGACGTTTGTTTTAATGTTATATTGATGCTTAATTTTATAGCAAATGTTTTATATGTCTTTTTCTCTAGAATGGATGATGAATATGTTGTTGGATATAGTGCAGGATAAGACATCTCCGGCTGAGCTCGTGCACCTGGCTTTCAAATGTCTTTACATCATCACCAAGGTAACACCTACCTAGCACTTCATGGTTGACAGAACAGTTTCTTAGTACAGTTGGTCCAGAAGTTACCTTTCAAAATGTTATTTCTTGGAAAAGATAGTTTGGACCCATAAGTTGTGGGTTTTATCCTTTCTTTTTACCTTATTTTTGGGATCTGATATTAGGGACCCAGGGGGTCCTTTGGCTGCAACAATGTCCAAGGTATTTAGGGTGTTGCATTTGAATAGATCAAGTACCACCTCGGCACTAACTGGGAAGGAAGAGAGACAGACCTATGTGACTAATTCAGCAAAGCTCTTTACAAAGAAGCAGCAAATAAACTTGGTGGAAATGGAAGGGCTCCTCACACTTGAATGGGCAGACGAATGTCCTGGGGACCCTGTCGTCATGAAGGTTCTTAATAGGCACGTCGGGGGGGGGGGGAGGCCTGACTGTCCTCATTTTCACAAGCTCTCAAGAGCCCTGGGCCGGCCTGCATGCGCCGATGGCGGTTTTGACCGAGGGGATGGCTCGGTCATCTCAGGGGTGGGGGCGGTTGGTGGTTCTGCGCGGCTGCCTTGCAGCAGGGTCCCTCCCGAAGGTGCGGGGCCACTGCGTTTTGGAAGAGTCGTCGTGAGCTTGGGGTCCTTTGAGGTCCCCTGGGACTTAGTCTTCGTAGTGGTCAGAGCACAGTCATACAAACGAGGGTGAAGCAACAGCGCTCTGTATGACGTGTTTCCGATGAACCGCAGAGGAGATGGGCTCCTCGAGTTGGGACTCGACGTGTGTGTGAAATGGCTGAAGCAAAAGAGTTCTCCTGCTGTTCGGTCACCCGGGTTGTGTCACTGTGATGCGGTGGCATTTTCTTTGGTCATCGAGTGGCACAGGTGGTGACTTTTGATGAGGAAAAGTAATTTTGCTCCTTTCTGTATTTTCTAATTATGTGACAATTCAATGACTTTTTTTTTAATTTGATAGGTTCGAGGATATAAAACGTTTCTTCGCTTATTTCCTCATGAAGTAGCTGATGTGCATCCGGTTCTAGATATGGTTACGAAGCAGGACCCCAAGGACCATGAAGTGAGTGTCCCTCCCGCCTCCTCGCCCCCCCTGCCTCCTCGCTCCCCCCCCGCCCCCGCGCCTCATTGTCCCCTCTGTCAGTTTTCTCTTATTAGGCTGTTTTGTATCACTCTCATTTTATTCTTTGCCTTTTTTTTTTACGTGTTATTTTATACTTTCTTTAAAAAACAATGCCTTTATAAGGAAAATATGGCCCTGCCTGGCATGGCTCAGTGGGTTGAGCGTCAGCCTGACAACCCAAGGTCGCTGATTTGATTCCCTGTCAAGGCACCTGCCTGGGTTCTGGGGCAGGTTCCCAGCTGGGGGCACACGAAAGGCAACTGGTCGATGTTTCTCTCCCCGTCTTTCTCTCTAAAAAATAAGATGTAAAAAAAAAAAAGAGAATATGCCTCCATAGTACGGTGATAACTATATCACCGTCCAGTTTTCTTTAACTTGAAATACAACTATGTTGGAGGGTATTTTGCTCAGTGAAGTAAGGCAGGGAAAGACAAATGCCATACAGCTTCGCTTATATGTGGAATCTCAAAACAAGATAAATGAGCAAACAAAATTCAACCAGTCATAGACGTGGAGCGGAGCGGTGGAGCAGTGGTTGCCGCAGGGTGTAGGGGTGGAGGGACGGGGAGAGAGAACCACAGATAGATAGTTAGGGAACAGGCGCGGGGCTGCAAAGTAGAGCGTAGGGAGCAGAGTCCATACCGTGGTGACTTTGCATTGTGCCCAGTGGATACCGGACGTACGGGGAGGATCCTTTTGTAAAGTGGTGTTGTCTGACCACAACCCTGTACACCTGGAACTAATTCTAAATAATATTGAAAGTAAACTAATTTAAAAATTAAAATTAATTACATTGGGAGTCACCAAGACCACACCTAAGTGTGATTTGCTGGAACCACTCACAGGAGTCAGCATGTATTGGGTTGGCTCAAAAGTCCGTTTAGTGTTTTTTCAGTAAGATAAAACATACATTTTTCATTTTTACCAATAACTTGATGGAGTCAGATATTTTGAGTATGTCAGCTGTCTCCTGTGTAGTATAATGTTGATTGTTCTCAATTAGTGTCTTGAATTGATTGCTATCAACTTCAGCTGGTCTACCCAACCCTGGAGCATCGTCCAGTGAGAAATTTCCAGCGTGAAACTTCACAGACCACTTTTGATACGTTCAGTCAGTCACAGCATCTTCTCCATACACTGCACACATCTTTTTTTGCATTTCAGTTGCATTTTTACCTTTCTTGAAATAAGCATAGTATGCTGAAAATGTTGCGTATTTTCTTCAGTATTAAAATGACTACACAAAAATTCAATTTTGATAAGTTTTTTTAATGCACGCTGATATGACAGCTGCCACAATACAATTTAACGCAGTTGTTTCAGGTGAAGTTAAAGACAACTAAGCGCTCCTAGAGCCATCTGACAGGAAAAAGCAAACCAACCTTTTGGCCATCCCAGTAGTAGTCCTGTGGCCATTATTTATTACAACAGCGTTGGCAAAGGGATAGGCACCCAGGCAGAGCCCGGGGAAACGAGCAGCAAGCTCCCAGCGCCTTCTGGTTGTGTCACATCGAGCGCTTGTGATTCCCCAGCACGGGGTTGTGACACCCGCGTGACGTGCCCCCCATGGAAGGCCCTGGAGACAGCCCGGGTGTCTGCGGGGGCTGGTGATGTGGCTGCCCTCTGCCGAGCGCACGCTGACACTTCAGGCTCCCAGACGGAAAGCAGGCGATCAGCACAGGCCTTGTCTCTGCGAGCAGTCGAGGCACAGAGTCACCCTCGCCAGGAGGGAACACGTTCCCAGAGCCCCTGGTTGTGACTGCAGCGCCACGGGCGGCCGGCCTGCTTTTGGTGGGAGGCTCGGCGAGCCTTCCCCCTCGCCGCCTCTGCCTCTTGTGCCCCCGTGGGGACTCCAGGGCCAGAGCGGGGCCTTGTCCTGCTGCTGAAACTAAGGCGTTTGTCTTTGATCGGAATTGAGAATTTTTTCTTTTCGTCTTCTGTTCGTACCTTTTTATCTGCTTCCCGCTGTCTCAAGAGGCTGATTGCATGCTGAAGGGTGCCAGGGAAGACAAACTGTCAGGCTGATGTGTCACGATCATTCCTGGTTCACTCGGCTGCTGCTTTGGTCTCCTGCGGTAGCCACGTCCTCATGGCAGAGGCGGGTGTGTTTTCAGGCGCAGAGGAGACACGGGGGAGCTAACGATTGTCTGCCCCCTGCCGCCCTGGCCCGGTGATCGAAGACGTGGAAAGGGCCTCAGTGGGGGGTGTGGCTCACCTCTGCCCTTTGTACAGGAGTCATTTTACTCTGGTTTAACATCTTAGACATGGGAGACCCGCTACATGCTTCTACTGTGGCTCTCCGTGACCTGCCTGATCCCTTTCGATTTTTCGCGCCTTGATGGGAACCTCGTCTCTCCACCTGGGCAAACGCGCATGTCCGTCATGGACCGTATTCTCCACGTAGCGCAGGTGAGTGTGGTTGCGCTCACAGCTGCCAGCAGTTAGTGTTCTCTTCTGCGCGCATGCGGTCTGGAAGGCAGAGTTGAATTAGGTTCACTCTTGACCCTTCTGTGTTTCCTCAACTGCTGTTCAGTGTTTCTCAGTGAGGGAAACTTTCGTTTCATAACTTGTTTTGAAGTTGTGATCATTTACATAGGGGTCAGGATGAATTACTTTAGCAAACTTCATGTCTTTGTAATAGATTCTGCTAATACCCTAATAATAACGATGCCGTGAGAAGTTTCAGGGACAACGGTAAGAGAAAATAAAGGTCCATTTCTCATTTCAGTTTTAATGTCATACAGATAAGACACAGTCACTGTAGAAAAACTAAAATAGAGAAACAACAAAGACAAAATCTCTCAAATTCTATTGCCAGGAGATAACATTTATGTATAGTTTTCATACTTCTGATGTAAATAATATGCATATAGACAGATTACTTGGTTATCTGTTGCTGCTTAAAAAACGGCCCACACTGGAGTCGTCAAACACGCGTTGATCGCCCCCCTCGGGGGCCGTCGGGGCCCCTGGCAGGATCTGCTTCCACGCTCAGTGCTGTCGGCGGAAGGCAGGTCCTCGATGCTGTCGGACCACGGGCCTCAATTCTCTGCTGGTTGTTCCTTACCCCGTGGGCCCCCAACATGGCCGCTTATTCCACATCCCTGCCCGTCTGCCCTCCACACTCTCTTAGATTGGAGGCAAATAACTGTCCAGCCCACCCGGGAGGGTCACCCAGGGCGCTTGTGTCCGCCGGCAGGACCCGGTGTCTCCCACCCCGCCTGCCGCGCCTGCGGCGGGCGTCCGCCGCGTGCCCGCCCTCGGCGGACGCGGTGCGAACCCTTCACGCGGTCACTCACGCCGTCCTCGGCGAGTCAGTTTGCTGCTTCACTCCCCATTTTGCTGAGGAGACAGTAGGCACAAAAACAGCTGGTTCATTTTCTCAGAGATGGTGACCCAGCCTCAGACCCAGGTAATTCGGCTCCCAAGCGTGTGCTCTCTACTGTGCCCCCCTCCCCGCCCCTTGCTCATGCGAACAGGCCTTTGATGTCCTGCTGTCTGGCCCTCAGCAACGTGCCCTGAGCGTCTTATGTCAGAGGTCTCCCTCCCGGTGTTCAAGGGAGAAGGTGCTCGATGGCACCCCAGCTTCCAAATATTCTCTCACAGATGGCGTCTTGCTCTGGGGGCGTCCGTCAGCGGTGTGGCGAGGAGCACCGGCCGGCACGTGTCCCTGTGGGCGCCGGTCTCACGCGGGGTCTCTGGGGGAGGGTGGCACCCTTCTAACGACTTGGGACTCTGCCTGCTGCTGCTCCCCAGAAAGCTCGCCCCAGAGAAAAGCTGCTCTTAGGGTGTTATTTCGAAAACACTTAGTTGAGGTGAGACTTGGAAATCTAAGGTGGGCCTCCTAAGAAAACCTAGGCGTTAGTGTTGAACCAGGAGCCCTTCCGTTTGGGTGGGGACTCCTGACCATTCACGTCTTAAATGCTGATGGCCCCAGGTGTGCTCCACCGACACACGCAGGTCGGTGCAGCTGGGTCACACGGGGTTCACTCTCCTGTTTTATCGAATGTGTTGGAGGCTGTGATGCGCCGGGTGTGGGTTCGGCGCCCTGCTGGGGGCGAGCACAGCGTGTGGCTGCCGCCGCCGCTGGTCCGAGTGTAGGAGCGGTTTGTGTGGCCTCTTGAGCTGGGACTCTCGGGAAGCCACTGCGTGTGGGGCTGGCCTGCTGAACGGGCCCCTTAGACTCACCCTGTCCTTTATCCTCTCTCGTAGTCCTACCTGGTCGTCAGCGACAAGGCCCGAGACGCGGCTGCTGTTCTTGTGTCCAAGTAAGTGCCCACTGGACCTTCTGCGGTGCTGCCGGCCGACGTGTGGCGCGTGCCTGCAGGGGGCGCCCCTGCCCGTGGGGCCGCCGTCCGCAGAGAAGGGCATGGGGTTGGGGAAGTGTTTTCTGCTCCCCAGCACTGTCCCTTTCTTTGAGGGAGCAGCTCTCTTTGGGCGCAGGAGATCTCAGCCTCCGGTGACCACTTGCCAGGTAGGGGCTCACAGGACACGTGACACTGGGTTAGGGGCTCAGAGGCCATCTGACAGGCCCACCCGCTGAGTGGAGGGCAGATTTAGAATAAGTGTAGTAGTTAAACCTGGGGCATGAGCTCACCTTTAGGGTGCTGGCTCTTACACGAGCCTTTCCATGTCATTTATGAGGGGGGACCCAAAACTCTCCCGCCAGAATTCTCCCCCGGAGGGCGGGCCCCGCAGCGCCGGCTCCCCGGCCGGCGGCGTGTCTGGGAGCCCGTCCGCGTCGGCGCAGCGGCCGGCGCTGTTGAGAGAGGCTGCACTCGGTGTCAGGGAGCTGCTCTGTGGAGACTCGCACTGCATTGGCTCACTTCGTGGCGGGTGATTTGCAAGCACATCTGCCCACACCGCGCTGAGCGGTCAGCAGTTTTGCACCAGAGCCGGCAGGACTCCTGCGCTCCTCCCTCCCTATGCACCTGCTCTCGCCCTGGGAGACTTTCTTTTGTTTCCCCGATGAAAAAAGTCTTCAAAGGGAAATGTGTTGCCAATGTAGAAGAAATGAAACAAAAAAACGGCAGAAGCACTAAGAGGCATCAAAATCGACCTGTTTTGAGCCTTGGGGAGAAGGAGTCTTGACAGGTGCGTTGCTGCAGATGGCGAGCGCCGTGAAGGTGACCGACGTGGGAACCTGTGAGCGTGAGCACAGCGCGGCGGGCGCAGCCCAGCGGCTGAGCCTCGGCCTGTGAACCGGCCAGGGGTCCGCGACTCAGCTCCGGGTCGGGGCCCAGGCCTGCGTGGTGCGCCAGGCCCCCAGCAGGGGGCGCGAGAGGCACCCAGGCCGCGCTTCCCTCCCTCTTTCTCACTCCCTCCCCGCTCTCTAAAAATAAATAGATAACATCATAAAAAATACACAGTTTTTTATGAATTCCGGGTTTGGGGGCCCCCCTCGTAGAGATCAGCCCACGCTGTGGGGTGTGCGCATCAGGGGCTGGGGCTGCGGCGCTGTGCTCGGGGCGCAAACCCCAGCCTGTGGTCACTGAGCAGCGGGCTGCGCCTTGCCCAGGCGGGGCCGGGCCGGAGGAGGAGCGAGCGAGCCGCACGAGGTCGTGCCGTGGGGGTCGTGCCGTGGGGGTGGGGACGGCAGGGAGCGGTCCTCCAGAGCAGCCCCGCGTGTGGCGCGGGGAGACGCGAAGAGAGTAAACCGATCGGAAAGCTGGCGGTGGGGGCTCCCTCTGCACTCGTGCAAGTCGGAGACGGTGCTAGAAACGTGTGGGCGTTCCTGGTCGAGAAACGGGCCCCCGCTCCCTCGGGGCGACCTTGGGGTGAGCTGCGTGGCCGCGGCCTCCTTGGACGGAGTGGGACGTGAAGCCCTTCCCTGACGGGCACGTGGGGGCCCGGGGTGGGCGGTGCGTGCGGCGCGCGGGGCGGGGCCTGGCGGGAGGGCCGCGGAGGGAGGCCGGGCACCGCCGTGGCGCCGGCCAGGCCGAGGCCCCGTGCGGTCGCCGCGGAGACGGAAACGCGGGCGGGTTTCCCTGACTGTGAAAGCGATCACGTGTGTTTTGGAAAATAACGGGAAGTGTGAAGTGCAGATAAAACCCGCGTGCACTCTCATCCCCGAGGCGTCGCTGCGTCTGCCCGGAGCCCCGCGGAGTGTGTGGGCGCGTCCCCCCGGGGCGGCAGGCCCGGCTCCTTCCAGCCTCCTTCCCGTGTGGCCACCGCGTGGACGGGTTCTGTCCAGCCTTCTGTTGGTTGGTAAAATGAATCCCGCCACAAACATCCTACATGAAACTGTCCCATTTCGATGGATTCTTAGGGATGGGTTCTCAGGAACGGAACGAGCATTTTAGGGTTTTAAATGAAACTGCTGGAAAGGTCAAGCACGTTGAAAGTCACAAGCTTTTCCTCACTTGTATTGGTGCTGTGTGTGACCTTACAAACGAAAAACGTGTCTGGTCACCACCAGAAACATGGAGGGTGTGGTAGTCTTTGCTGAGCCCGGCTTTGTGGCGCTTCCTGCCAAGGGTGGAGGAGGTGACCCCCTAACCCTTCATTTCCCCTGGGTGGCCTCTGGGAAAGGTGACAGCCAGAGACTCGGGTGCCACGTGGGGACAGGCTGAGCCATGGCGGGACTTGCCCTCGCTGTCCGATGGCCGGCGCGAGCAGGTGTTCCTTGTGGTCCGGCTTTCAGCGCATTGAGCAGGCTCGGCCTGCGGGCCCGGCGGGGCTCTGCTGTCCTGGGCGGGCAGAGTGACCTTGGACCCGGCTCAGAGCTGCCCTTGGTTCGCTTCCTGCCTCCTAGCGCACGCCAGGCAGGGCTGATCCGCATGGTTCTTGGCCTATTTTTTGGTGGGTTGTCATCGTAAGGTCATGGATGAGCAGGGCGGGTGGCTTTTGTCCTCTGCCTGTTTTCTGGTATTTTAAAGTCACGTTCCTTTGTAGAAACTCTTCAACGTAACATGTCTTTACTTTTATTGATCACGTCAGTATTAAAAGCAGACATTTTTGTTTAATTATAAAAGCAGGCTGTGTTCTATGTAAAAAGAAACTTTGGAACATAGAAAATTAGAAAAAGCCCCACACATTTGTAATTATAGTACACAATACGTGTTGTGTTTGTTTGCCTTTTTCTGTGCTACACTCACGTTGGCCGTGCACAGCGCTCTCTCCTGCTTCGTGACTTCATGCCACTGTTGAACAGACGGCTCCGTTGTCATCCCTGCTGTTGGGCCCTGCCAGCTGGCGAGATTCAGGACTTTGTCTTGTTTTGGGCACTAATAGCCCTTTGTGACCTGAATTCTAACATCCATGGGTCTCTTGGTGCGTTTTCTTTTCCACTGGCCTGAGCTTCCTGTGTCGATAAGGTGGGTTATGTCCCTTAGCTGGTTGGTGGCCTTTTACTTTCTTCTTTGGACCGAAGTTTTAATTGTAATGTCAAAAACAGTTTTTTTCCTTTTATTTATTTAGCGATTTTTACTTTGTTTAGTCTTACCCTATTAAGAGATTTTACAGGTAGTCATTTATATTTTTCCACCTTTTGGTTGTTCAATCCACAACTTTTAACCTGTTTGGAATGCCTTTGGTGTGGGGCCACACGGTAGGTCTCCTCCCTCACAGGTAGCAGTTGTTTTGGTGCCATTGTGAGTATTTGCTTTTCCGTTAATTTGCGATACTCTAAAAACACAGCAAGTTCCCAGCAGAGTAGGGTGTGTCGCCTCCCCTGGACTGTTTCCCTCTCAGACCAGGGGACAGAGTTTCAGCGTGTGGTCACAGCACTGACGAGCATCTGGAGTAGCTGACTGTCCCCCACGTGTCCCGTGCGGGTGTTCTTTTTCCCTCCGAGGGCCTCGTTCTGCGTCCAGGCTTTGCTGATGGTTGTGCTGGCCGTGCTGCGGGACTTCGCTCTGAATTTCCGGCGTGGTGGCCGAGCTGCGGGGCCTGAGATGCGACCTCTCCCCTCGGGAGGAGGCGAGGATGCAGAGGTCTCTGCATGTGCACGAGGGTCCTCTGTGGGGCGGGTCCTTGGGTCTCTCCTGCAAACATGTGTTCTTGTTTAGTGAGGAAAAAACCCACAAAACATAAAGTAATACACTTAACTCTTTCAAAGGAGCCTTGGGTTTCCGCCTACCTGTGGGAACTCGCCGGTGGGGCTGTTCGAGGGGCCAGCCCCTGACGTGCAGCAGGCGGGGCTCCGGGCCAGGCGCCGTGGCACAGAGGCGCAGGCGTGACCGGCCGGCGAAGGCCACGGTGGCATCAGCGGGATGCGCAGGGTCCTGGGGGGCGGGGGGGGGGTGGTGAGCGGCCTGAGTGTGCGGCGCTGTGACCAGCCTGTTGGCTCTGGTCCTTCTCAGGCCAGGGCGCAGCGCCCCACGGGCCCCGGGCCCGCACACGCTGCCCTGCTGTCCCCAGCCTGTGGGCCCAGGCAGAGGTTGGCCGGAGGAGCAGGGTGCTGCCGGCGGCCCTTGGCCTGCGCCACTGGGGCTGGGGGACTCTAAGCAGGGCTGTCGCAGACGTCGAGGCAGGTTCTTCCTCACACCCCCCGGCAGGTAAGCTCCCGGAGGTGCAGACTCGGGGGACCCAGGGCGCCTTTCCAGGCCTGCCGAGCTGCAGCGTCTTGGGGTGGGCATGTGAGCTGGCCTCTGACTCCTGCATCCTGACGGTCAGTAAAAACCCCTCGTCGCCGGGGGTCTCCCGCGTGCACTCTGACAGGGGACAGGAGGGCAGTCCCAGCGTCTTTGCCTGGTCTCTGAGGTGGGGACGCACCCCCCCCCCCCACCCGACTTCTGCTGCGGCTCTGTGGCTGCAGGCCGAGCTGCTGCCTCCGGTGCGGGCAGGGGCTGTGGGGCCGGGCAGGCGGTTCCCTGTGTGCTGGGGGGGTGAGCGTGGAGCCTGGAGCCTTGCCACCTGAGGAGGAGGAGGAGGAGAGAGGAAGAAGAAGGGGCCAACATGTCTTGAAAGAGGGATTTGCTTTAGGGCCGGCCCTCCCTCAGCATGTTCTAGGGAGTGTGAGGCCCCCCGCCCCCCGCCCCAGAGCTTGGGGGCCGCCTCCTGCTGTTCTCTGGTCACGCAGCCCCTTGGGAGGTTAGTGCTGTGCGGCCTGCCACCCTCCCCTTCTGTGACCGATTTGTGTCCATTTGCTTGTTTCCTGTGTGTCTGCTCCCAGAGCGCAAGCTCCCCCCGGGGTCAGGGGCCCAGCCCGAGACAGGGGGTCGGGGAGCCGGGGCATTGGTGTGCGGACGGGCCGGGGAGGAGAAGGGCCAGACTCGGGTGTGGGGTGGAGGGCGGCCGCAGGCCCCGGTCAGGGGTCTGAGTGGGTGAGCGAGAGCCAGTACCCCCGTTTAAGCTCTGGGGGCGCAGCACTGAGCACATGCCTGGCATGGGGACCACGGACCCCAGCTGGGGCTGGCAGGCGGTGGGTGACCCACGATGGGGGGGCGTGGGCCTGCTGCTGGGCACCGTGTCTGGGGAAGGAGGGAGCGCCGGGGGGGGGGGCCCTGGCCACCGTGGGGGCCTGCGGAGGTGGTCCTGTGGCGAACGGGGCCTCAGGATGAGGGGGTCCCAGGAAGGAGGGGTGGGGCCTGCGTGCGGTGTGGGAGAGGTCACGTGGGGAGTCGCTCCGAGGCCCACGGTCTGGGCAGCGCCTTCGTCCCTGAGCGGGGGCTGTTGTCAGGTGCTGCGTGCGACCCGCACCACCGAGGGCGAGGGCGCGGGGGCGGGCAGGTGAGCTCTTCCCCGCTGGGCCTGGGTTGGACTGTCACCTGCCTGTGTTCTCTTCTGGCAGGTTTATCACACGGCCCGACGTCAAACAGAAGGCGATGGCGGGTTTCCTGGACTGGAGCCTGTGCACTCTGGCGCGCGCCTCCTTCCAGACCATCGAGGGGGTCGTCGCCGTGGACGGGACACTGCAGGCCCTGGTAAACACTGCCCCTGGGGAGGGGGCCGCCCGCGGTCCGTGTGTGCCGCTGCCCAAACGCTGGGACAGGCCCTGTGGAGCAGACTCCATTCTGAAGCAGTTGGAACGCAGGAAGGTATCCGGCCCTGACAGGACAGGGAGCCCAGTGTCCTTTTCGCGGCGTGGACAGGACCGTGGGGCTGCGGGGCCCTCCGCTCTCTTGGGGCCGAGCCGTCCTGGGCGTGGCCGCCAGGGGGCAGTGGTGTCTGTGGAGCGGGCGCGACAGGCGGGGGCGGGGCCTCCTCGGGTTTCCTGCGGCTCACCTGTGCTAAGGACTGTAATCACTGAGCTGGCTCTGATGGAGTCAGGCGGGTGCCCAGGTTGGGGCGTCTGTAACGCTGGGTGAAACACAGGCCCGACACCCCGCCGTTCCTGGCCGTCCTGCTTTGCTCGCTTGTGGCGTCGCCTCTTCTGGTCTAGGTTCCGCAGAAGGGGGCCGGCGGCCCGCGCCCCGGGGCTTGTGGCCGGCTGGCCCTCCTGCCGCGCCTCCTGCTCTCACCCTGCCGGGGCGCGGCCTGCTTTCCGGGGAGCAGGGCACTGGGGGCTGCATCCGAATGCAGGTGTCCGGGCCCGTGACTCGGTGTGGTGTCCTGTTCCTGGGTGTTGCCCGTCTGCCCTCGCTGGCCGTGGCAGCCCCGGATGAGGTGTAGGAGGCCGCTGGGGAGCGGGGCGATGCTGTGATAACCGGGCAGCGGGCAGGGGCGTGGGGGGCGGGTGCCGACGGCCAGCGAGGGCCTGGGCGGGAGGCGCTTGTCCCCGGGGCTCGGTCTTGGAGAGAGGAGACCGCCTGGCTTTCTCCCGGAGACGTTCTCCGCGTCCGTGTCTCTTCATTCCTGTTATCGGGGTCTTCGATAGGGGTTGCCTTTCAAAGGATGAGAATGTTTGAGACATTTAAAAAGAGAAACCTAAAAAAATAAAACGTTTCTAGAGTTCCTGTTGAAGTAACTTTTTTTATGCTTTTCTACAGTATAAGTAAACGTTACATCTTAGTTTGAAAGAAACCCCGGTATAACCGAGTGCACATACGTGCACAGGGCTGTGCGACCACCCCCGCTATCTAGTTCCAGAATAGTGTCGTCACCTGTGAAGGAAGCTCCGCACCCATTGGCAGTCACTGCGCATCGCCCGCCCCGGCCGTGGGCCCGCGTGTCCTGATGGCTCACGCGTGGAATCCCGCAGCCCGGCTGCTCTCGTTTAGTGTGACGTCTTCAAGGGCCCCCGCGTTGTGGCCTCGGTCGGCCTTTGTTCCTGTTTATGCCCGAATAGCGGCCCCTTCATGGTGCCACGGCCACTGCGGGTGACACCAGCCTGGACGCGCGCCCGCGCGCCAGTGTCTGAGCAGGACTGTCGCTTCCCTCGGTGTGTAACAGCAGCGTTTCGAACACGCTCACTGATGTAAGTGTCCTCACTTCGGAGGCCTTCCGGCACGGCCCGCCTGCCCGCCGGCCGCAGGGACGACGGGGCCCCGCACGGGCAGACGCACGGCCTGTGTCCTCAGGCGGCTGCCCTCCCGGCGGGGCCAGGGTGGGGCTCGGGACGCCCTGGGACGTGCGGCTCATTGCTGTGATGCAGTCGCTCAGGGTGCGGCGTGCAGGGTGGGGACCTGCCGCTCACAGCGCCTGCCCCCTGGGCCGTGCGGGGCGGGTCCCGGAGCAGCGCGTTCGCGTTAGGCAGTTCTGGGGAGGGAGGGGGATGGGGTTGCCATGGCTTGTTGGGTATACGTGGGCTCCTAGTGTTTTGCCATGAGTCACATGGAGAAGCCTTAGGTCACAGAAACCGTGGAAGGTCTGGCAGAATGTAGCCGAAGCCTGTCAGTCCGTCCACTGTGGCCTGTAGGGGACGCTGTGAGTCCTGCCCGAGCGCAGTGCCGCTCCTGGGCGGGCAGTGCCTTCACGCGAGCTGGAGCCCGCCGTGCGGCCGCGGCCGGGAGGCAGGTCCCCTGTGCCGGGCTGCGGGGCCTGTGTCCTCGGCCACCGTGAGATGCCCCTGTGGCTTCCTCGTCCCCAGGCTCTGGCTTTATTTTTTCCCACCTGATCATCGCTGTGGGGGAGACGAGCCAGGTGACCGTGCAACAAGTACCATGGAAATGAGGGAGTTGACTTTTATTTTTTTGTTACTGAATTTAGAGAAAAAGAGACATTGATCTGTTGTCCCGCTCATTGACGCACTCGTTGACGGGTTCTCGTACATGCCCTGATCCGGGGGCTCGAACCTGCAACCTTGGTGCCTCCCAATGACACTCTAACCCCCTGAACTGCTGGGCCAGGGCTGTGAGTTGATTTTTATTTCCCTTGAAGCGTATTCTTCAGCTCAAGAAGGTCCTGGGGCCACTCTCTCCAGTTTTGTAGTTGCTTTGCCAAGAGGTTTCTTTTTCCTTACATTTTTGATCACCTGGCTGCTGTCTCAAGAGTGTTCCACGTTTTCTGTTTTTTTCCTTCCCAGGGGGCAGGCGCACGCATTGAGGAGCTGCCAGCTGTGGGGAGGGGCTGGCGTCTCCCCTCGGCACTGACCAGCCAGTGGTGGGGAGTGCTCTTCATTTGGATGTCTCTAAGCTCCACGCTTAGGACCGGGGAGGTTCTTTTTCCTCTTCCTCCTGAGGAACAAAAAGATTTCCTCGAGGCGTAAAGAAGCCTGGCCCTCCGCCCCTGCCCTGTGTGGGCAAAGGATGAGGCAGGTGTGCCCTCGTTCTGCAGGGCACTGGGCGTGTGTGGGCCGCACCTCCGCAGCCTGAGCCGTGGCCTGACCTGCGGCCGGCGTCCGTGGGAAGTGAGCGCCCGAAACTGTCGGGAGGCAGCGCCCTGCAGGGCCAGGCGCGTCCCCTCTGGAAAGCCTAGGGTCTTTCTGGAATCATGCATCCTGTTTCCTTTTCTTTACTCGAAGGAGCAATTTGGTCTAATTGCTGTTGCCACTGCCTGGGCAGGAGGAAGCCGAGCCGGGCGCTGAGCTCTCCGGGCGACGGAGCGGTTTCGCCCTGAGCTCGTCAGACCTGAACAACGGAGGCCGGGCGCCCGCGAGCGTGATGCAACTTGCAGACGTGTTGTGCTTGTGCCGCAGGATTCCAGCTGCTCCCTTTGATGCACTTGGCTTCGTTTTCATCCACCTGTTCATTAGTGTGGGTTAGGCGAAACAGGTGAACTCATAACAAGCACCATCGAAACTAGGAGTTGATTTTTATTTCCCTTGAAGCGTATGCCTCTTGCAGCGATGATTTTTAACTCCTGTGGGAGGGAAACAAGTGTTTGGCAGCCTCACTGCACTGGAAGGCCCCTTTGCTCTAGCTCTGGAAAGCGCCCTTTGGGTTAGTCCCGCCGAAAGCAGTGGGGTGAATGCCAGTCGAGGGAATTCAAGGAAGGGAAGCGCGTCCTGTGGTCGAGAGCGGCCGTCCCTGAGCCCTCTGTAGCCCTGCTCGCTTCGCGGCGCCGGTTCTTTCTTGCCCTGCTGCTGGGAGAGTCCGGCCGCTTCCTGCCCGCACTGGGCGGCGGGCGGGAGGCTCAGTGCTGAAGCGGGCGGCCGCCCCGGGTGAGAGTGCGGCTGCGCTGGCGGCCGCCGCCCCTGTGTCCCCCTGTGTCCGGCGGTTAGGGTTGCGGCCCCTGCGCCAGGGGCTGGTCCTGGGCGCGAGGCTCCGCCTCGTTGAAGGGGAAACAGTTGCAAACAGCCACACATGAAGCCGGGCAAGCGGCAGGCTGCGTGCACCCTCAGCCCCCACCCCCCGCCCTCGGGCGCCCTGTGAGGGGCAGCGTCAGCGCCTCTGCCCCGGTGGGGGCGGCTGCCCGGCGCCTGCAGGTGGCTCTGCCCTGGGCGCTCTGCTGCCCTGAGGAGGCTGATGTAAGTGGGCCAGGCCCGCGCCCGGGGAGGCTGTAGCAACACCTGTGACCCCAGGCAGAGGTGAGGGCCTCGTTCCCCGCCCGCCCGCCCGCCCGGCTGCAGAAGGGAAGCGGCAGCCTCTTTCCTCAGAGGGTGGTGTGATGGCTAATTAGTGTGTGCTGTGCTCTTTGAAGATGAAAAGAAGCCACTTGATTATACAACACAGTTCTCATGTCGGCTTTGATTTCTTTTTTTTGCTGTTAAAATTTATTTCTTGTGGATTTTAGACAGGAGCAGGGGAGAGAGAAAGACGCTGATTTGTTGCCGCGCTGCCGTAGGCCTTTGTTGTTTTCACTGGCCGATTCCTGCACGAGCCCCGCCGGGTCGCCCTGCCAGGGCCGGTCGCTTTCCTGTTGGGGTTCCTTGGAGAGTCGCACCCAGTGGTTCTCTTTAAGGTTCAGCTTGGCCAGAGGACACATTGTCCAAACTGGGCTTCTTAGTCACAAGATGTGGTGGAGGCGGGGCTCTGGGTGAAGGAGAAGGTGGCGAGAACCATTTGAACGTGTTTGTTTTCAGAGTGGCATTTGTGTGACCGTTCTGTGCTCTTGCAGAATTCGGGTGAAACGTGGTACCCGCGGTTTCTCCGTGGGATTAGAGAAAGATGTGACCAGCCAGCTCTGACGCTATTCTAATTTCGCGTAACTCAGCATTTTACGTGGGGGAGGTGGCATGGGGGTGGCAGGAGTCTTGTTGAAACCTGTGTGTGTGGGGCACGCCTTTCACTCACCGGCTGGCCAGGTTCGTGCACCTGCTGGGTGACGAGGCCCCACGTCCTGCTGAACAGGTGTGCGCTTGCTGGCAGCCTGGTTGGGCCCACGCTTGGAGGACGAGAGGCCTTGCAGGCCGTAAGCGCCCCTCGCTTCCCCGACGGGTGCGGAGCCGGGCGGGAGCTGCTGGCCTGTGGCCTCCTCTGCGGGCCCTGGGGTCTCCCCGCAGCCACCCCCGACCCCACCTGCAGCTGCGTCCTTGGGCTGTGGTTCCTGCCGACCTCGCCCTTCCCTCTGACGCGGGCATTCCCTCAGGCTCTGCTGGGGGCGGCGGGCAGCTGACGTTTCTCCAGATTGACCTGTGACCTTAGGTTCCTGGTTTCCCCCTTGG